TTTTTTTTTTTTTTTTTTTTTTCATTACGACTGAACCTCAGACATTCAGGGCCAACAAAAAGGCGGGGGGAAAGAATGAAAGAAAGCAGGATTTTTTGAACAAAAATTTTTGTTAAACCCGTTTTGCAGTGATAATCGCATATATTTACACGTTTTTTGACTAAGTAGAACTTTGGAAATAAATTTCTATATGTCTATCCATGCTTCGCCTCGTTTTTTTCGTATCTTGTTTCTCTATTACAAATAATTTCTTGAATAATTCAATCTTCAGCTGGATCACATTGTCTGCAGTTATTATAATACTTGGCAAGACGCAGATCTTTAGCTAAATTGCTCTGTACACGTTGTATTTGTTTTTGCCCAAGTGATGGCTTTTCGTTCAATTTGTTTAAATGAAGCATAATAAGCTTACGGATTTCCCAACGAGATTATCGTTAAAGAAAAAGCAAGTGAATGTAAAAGAAAATTGCTTTAATCCCATGTATATGCCTTATATCCCTACTCAAACATGACTTAAACATGATCTTCTGTTTTCTTTTAAAGACTTTAGAAGCAGCCATTGCTGTTGTAACTTATTCTCAGGTAAGCCTCAGTTCTGGTAATACCATAAACCATAGACGTCGCTTATTCGCGCGCGTGCAGAATTTACTCGAGAGAAAAATACTGGCGGGGAAAAAAACGCACGCGATGTTGCTTGACAGTTGTCATCGACACAGCACATTAAACTCGACTCAGTTTAAATTGGCTGTACTTTGTAAAACAAATGAGTAATATACATGACAGGGATAGAATATCTTGAAATCTCGCTACATAAAGCGACATTATAAACATGTTCGTGACGATATTGTCGTGGGTGCGACTTTAGAAATGTTGGTTTTGTAGTCCCTTAGCATTAGCCAGATAGCAAAATATATACACGTGTTTTATAAACAAAAATAAGTCGGTGTTACGTGAGACCGACAATCTAAATTATTTTATGATCCGTGATTTTCGGATTAACTATTTAAGATTTGTGTGGAGAATCATTTCCTTTTAGATGATTAGCGTGCCCGGCGTGAGAATTGTATGCGAATCTTCGCTCCTTAAAAGTCTGCATTCAGGTATTTCAGCAGTGTTTTACGAACGAGAAACATTTTTTTGGCTTTTTGTGTGTTTTGAACCTACGTATGAATATTAATACTGGCGGGTTCCTTATAAAAGATTTGGCCCTCGGTAACACATTTCCACTTATCTATTTTTTCCCGTTTTGCGTTGTTTTGAAAAGCCGGTCCGGATGGTCGGTCTTTGAAAGAAATTGTGTTATCAAGTAATCTGCGTGCGATGTGGTGAGATGTTTTAGGATATAGGGCCGGAAAAAATCGAATTCCTGTTGTTCTACTTGCAATAATCACTTTATTTATTGTACGCGCGGTCATCTTATTGAGGCCCACTGTATACACTTAAGAGACGCATAATGTTTTCCCTTTTCAGGCTACCACCCGTTTATAATCTTATTCCCTTAGTCAATACGCGTATTAACAACACACGCGCTCAAGCTGTTATCGATAAAGAAATGAATAATACTCAAGTAAATGACATGTGGTATTAAATGAGAAAACATCACGGCCAAGATCAATAGATTTATATCATTCATACGTCGATAATTAGTGAGCTAAGAATTTAACGAATTGTCTGTTTTATGGTTTCCAGACAAATCCTCTCACGGTACTTGGCAGACAAATGTTCGTTAACTACTCCAAGAGTCAGGAGATCAAGAGGTGCGCTGTTTTTCTGTTTTTCTAAAGAATAATATTTCCGTTTTAAATTACCTTGTTATTGTATAATCCCATACGAAGACGCACTACTCCTATATACTTACATGTGTTGTATGGATGTTTAGGGACAAGGTCATGAATGGAGACAGCTCTAGTCCAAGTGCTGAAGCTAGTAATATACTGCTACTCACTATCATTAACCCTCTTCACCCCATTAACGTAGTAAGTATACGCCTCTTTCTATATTGTATTAAACAACGACCTGAGCTAGTGCTGAAGGAGCCACCACGCGAGTGTGTCAATATTTTGAAGTAATGAAATCGCGCGCGCGTGTGTTTCTGTACTGTGATATGAATACATGGCGGGAGCGGCAGAGGCCGAAGGAAACAACTATTGTAAGGGAATTAGAGTCCCCAGAATATCCATATCAATGTGCAGAAAAAGAGGACGTTCCTTATTCTTTTTTTAAATCGTTTTTGCTATTTTGCGGGATAGACAATATCCACTGTTTTCCCATTTCAGACCACGTGTCATTCCCTAGAGTATCATTTCTTTGTTTGACGCTCGTGAATGAGAAGCCACACGAACATGGATACAATTCAAACAAAGACTCTTATACTCAAGATGGAATGACACGTGATCTGAAATGGGGAAATATTATTCCTAGGTGGATTAGGTCCATTGTGTTTCAGACCTTTCCCTTAACCAAAGTCTTCTCAAATTTTTAACGAAAAATTCGATTTTTTCGCGAGAAGAGTCTGGGTACGAGAATTGTTTCTGAGCATAAATATTAACACAGTATCCAGACAAGCAGATGTGTACCTAAAGTATTTTAAAATTAACGTTTAAATTTAATCTCAAATAATCGTTCTGTTCATGTCGCTTAATGATAAGGTCATACCAAGAGAAAATGAACTAAGAGAAGGAATCCCCGTGCCCTATCATGTGCACACTTTGATGCTATTTTTAGAATCATTGATGCTATTTTTAACTCGTTACCATGCCCGCGCGATAATCACGCTTCCCTTTAATGTCTCGTTTAAGGACACGGAAAGCGCCATATTTCGCTACGCCCACGAAAAAAACACAGGCTTTGTTTACTCCAAGACTGGAAGCCGCCTATCCTCAAGAAAATCAATAAATATCTCCAAGCTAAAAATAGCATCAAACTGTGCACATGATAGTTACAAGGCTATATTTATTTATTTATTTACATTCATATTTTAACAGGAAGCTTCTTCACTTATAAATGTGATTTTCAAGAAGGTCCTGATAAATAAGATATTTTGACAATAATATGCAAAAAGAGAATTTGGAGGTTGAATATCGAAACCAGCGCGTTACTGAAAAGTCAACATCATTATTACTAGTATGTAAAATTGTAAAAGATGAAAAGTTCAGATTATCTAGGTTTACAGGTTTAAAAGAAATTCGATTCAAAATGGTTAATATTAGAACACTGTTTAAGAGTGTTACTCAGATTGTTCCATTCTTTCATGGCTTGAAACTGCATTGTTTATTTTCCCCAGTTAGTTTTGGGTCGTGGTAGGATTCCTTCTCTTAGTTCATATTCTCTTGGTCATACTCTGCTCAACAATTCAGTTACATGTGTGCCAGAAGCAGTCTTTTGTGGGTGAACGCAAAAAATGCTAAACCATTAAAGACTTTATTTGCTTTTTCTGATCGTTTCTATGTTCATTTCTTTTCTCGCAGAAAATCTTACATAAAATTTGCAGCAATAGTGGAAAAGTCCTGCGGATTGTCATCTTTCACAAGAATGGTCTTCAAGCCTTAGTAGAATATCCTTTCATTTATTCATTTATTCTTTAAATCTAACATATGCATTTCTCTCTTTGGCTATGTATTTCAGTTTTTCAGTTTATCTTTTGGGTATTATTTCAATAGGACCTCTTTACCTTGTGCCTAATGTTTTTTAAAACATTAAGACAAAAGCATTACCCCCAAGGTGAAGAGGTGCATATTTTCCGGGATATCCATTCACTTTTCAACCTTTTCTAATGGCGGTTTTAACCTAGATTTATTACTTCTCCCTTCCCCTGAGATATTCCAATAATTCCTTTGCACTACTATTATTCCCATTCCTTTATTCTTACTATTTCATATATTTTAAACTTATTTCTTTCTTAACCCTGTTTTACGTTTGACACCGTTGAATCAGCCCAGAGAGCGCTGGCGCGTCTAAATGGGCAAGACATTTACGCTGGTTGTTGTACTCTAAAAATTGACTATTCAAAGGTGAGTCAAAACTACTGATGTTGCAACGGGCAATGGGCCTTATTCTTGTGGCAGCCATGTTGGATTGAGCAATAGATTCCACCACGCGTAACCTCAAATTCAAGCGCTTGAGAATTAATTTATGCTGGGGAAACAAAGGTTTTTATTCTCATGAGAATAAACATGGCCGCCGTGTGATAAAGGTCCATGGACCCTTCTCAAAATTATTTTCAATGCAAGATTAACATGGAAATTCACAAGAAATGACACAAATTCCATTGAGAAAAAGTGTGATTTTTTTGTTTGTTTTGATATTAGCCTCGCATCCACAGAGGGTCCATAGACCCTTTTACCCGTTTTATTGTTACTCTCTTGAGAATAAGATTCTTTGTTTAAGTTGTATTCGTGTGTCTTCTCATGCGCACTGAACCGTTTAACCAAAAAGTGATACTCAAGGGAATGATATGTTGTCTAAGTTGGAAAAAAAAAACATTTCGCCCAAGCTCAACAGGGTCTATTACAAGTGGGTTCCTTAAAAAAATTACTCGTAACGGGAATTTTTTCCAAAGTGGGGGGGATTCAGATCCCTTTTCAGGACCAGAACTTCACGTTTCTAATTCTGCTTTTCTTACGTGCACATCACAGAAAGCGAAAAAATTGAACGTGTTTAAAAACGATGAAGAGACATGGGATTATACTGGTGCACTTAACGGAACAACAGGTAAGGATACAAAACTCCATTCAACCTTTGACCATGTTTTGTATGACAATAGAGGCTTCGCACCATCACTTGATGGTAGCCATGACCAGAGGCACAACAATTCCCCTGAGAAAATGAGTTCTTTCTGATGTAAATTAGATTAGATCAGATTCAATTGTTCCTGCCTCCATTCTTGGCTGCCATCACTTGATGTTGCAAAGTCTCTATTGGAAGAATACGGTACGCGGGAATAGAGAAAAGCATCAACCGAACGCTGAGACCTTGACAAACGCACAAGAAATGTTTTAAGAGTGGACCATGAAGTTGAAACACTTAACTGATCCGATGGACGTTTTTCTCACCACAGGAATCCCAAGCAAAACGTCTCTCCTAGGTACAGGACTATTGTCAGCAATATCAGGTATTATATATGGCTGATAACATACTTGTGTTGGTAGAGAGACCTTAGGCGGGAGGGGTGCGGGGCCTTGGGGTGAGGGAGTCGGCAAAAAAATAAAAGTTGACTCAACCAAAATTAAACTGTAGCAGCTAAGAGAGGGGGGTTGCAATACTACCTAGTTCCGACTTACAAAATGCCCAAATTACCTTCGACAGCACCTTTAATCACTATCGATATTAATATAATTATTTGTTATTATTTTATCAGGAACCGACAGCGCTGATCCAGTGGTGCCCAGTCCACCACCCAGCACCATCAATGGAAATCTAAGTAAGATTCTAAATTAGATTTTTTAAAGTAAGATTGTAAATGGACACGACCTTTCTCGCATCTCCCACCCACTGACAGTTAACAAAAGGGTGCGGCCTGGGTGGTTCATTCCTCGCAGCAGACCTTGAGTAATGTGACTTGCAAATTGTACTTCAGTGCTGCTCCCAAAGAGTAGCTGTCAACAAAAAAAATTGTGCAATTTCTTACAAAGTGTTTCACGTACATTTGGTATGCTCTAACGATCGGCTATTTTATGGTTTTTGGATTTCTTGCGTTGCTGAGTTCTACTACTGCACCGTGATACTGGGTTAGTTTTACAACTATTGGTCCAAATTAAAATGGCTGATAACGTCAAAAAGAACATATCTGTAAGATTTGAAAACATTTGAATTTTCTTTGAAAATCAACTCAAAGTCGTCATCATCAACACTATCATCATCACCGCCATTATTATCATCATCATTTCATCGCCATCACTTTCACTTTCATTACCGTCATCATCAACACCATCATCTACCACAATAACAGGTACAGCAGAGATAGAGGGAGGCGCTGGAGGGACTATAACTCCTCATTCATCCTTGTGCATACTAGTCTGCTATATTTAATCTGCTATATGTTTCAATCCACTACTGATCATCACCACCATTATGAACACCATCATTATGGATTATTAACGCCATTTCCAGCACCACCGCCATCACCCAGTTGGTGATCCAGAACAATTTCAAGGGAGGTAACTGTTACTTGAAAGGCAACACGTTCGTTTTAGGTTTTATATTATCATTCATTTTTATTATTTTTCAACTCCAAGCGAGATGACTAGTTATCCAATTATTCCCCCCACCCTGGATCCATCCTTGATCACCCATCATAACCTTCACCATTATCACCATTATTCCAGGTTCTGTGAACAATTCGATACCACTGCCAACTGACGTCATAGCACGAGCTGCCGCTTTCCCCACCGTACAAAGTAAGTACCACATCACTTCTCTCTTCACTAAAGCTAACTTTTTTTAACAGGATTCTCTTGGTCGGGATACAAAATGGGCGTCGTTTTACAACTTAACAAAACTGCATGAATAGAAGACTAAAATGAAAGATTGATGCAAGCCTTTCCTCTTAATCTCAAAATCTTTAATTTTGTCGTGTTTCTGTAATGACTAGATCTATCGTGCTCCATGCATTTGACCCTTAATTATCTCCTCGGTTTTTGACATTGATAAGGTGCTAAACTTAATGGTATTGCTCATTTTGTCTCCTTAATAAATTATGTATGCTCTTTTTTTTCGAGTTCTTTTGCTATTTTACTCGTTTAGCGTTTTTTGTGAACATGGACGTGACTGTCGAAATCTCCATCTTCGCGTTACGTCATCACCGCCATGTTAATGGTATTTAACAAAACATTCCTCGATAATTACTTCCTTTGTTTATACCGGCAACACAGCCACCATGTATTTGTCTCTTGACTTTCTTGGCAACAGCCATATTTCACTGGCACTTTACGCCTCGTTTAACCGAACTTCAATTACCAATAGCCCCTTTTCTCATTCGGTAAATAACGTATTTTATGTCCAAAGACTCATTTAGCGTTTACTCGGGCTTCTCATGGCTTTTTCCTGGAAGCCGAATGAGCAAAACAACTCGAAATTAGAGTATTGGGTATGTCTGTTGTTAAATTGCATGTCTAACGATAATACTTGTCTGCTGTGAGAGTGACCTACACGAATATACTGTGTTTAACTTCACAGGTATTCTAGCTAAGGTTGCTTCTCTCCAGGGCAGTAAAAGTCCAACCAACTCTTGTAAGTAATCCATCCTTTTAACCTATTGCTGGGAAACTTGACAAAATCTGTGCAATTGCTTGATGTGCTTTGGTAATACTTTGTATCGTTACTAAATGTAATATAATTGGTCTTAGTTTTAATACCTATAATTCAATATTTTAATCCTGTTTGAATGCGATAATATTTATAAAATTAAGGGGCTGCTACTTCATGTATGACTGTAGCGTATCTTGTATTGTTTTTGTATTGTTTCTTCGCCAACTTTAGAATTACTCTTTACATGACGTATCAGCTGATATATCACTGCCATGGTGATATATAGTGTTACTTCTACGAGAACACTCTTCAAACGTTGTGAAAAAAATCTTTATGTACTGTTTAAAAATCGAAAAGACTTCTGGTAGATGTAGTATCATGACGTCAACATTCATTTGATCATGACGTCGTCGTGGATATATTACCATTGTCGTTTTTCGTACCGAACTTTCATCGTAATCGATTCGGTCGATAATCTACAGTGACGCCATCACTCACATATCGTGACGAAAAGTATCAAAGAATGTCATTTTTGTCCTTTCTAGCACCCAGTCCTCCAAGCTTATCCGCGGACAGCTCCCCAAAGCTGGGCATTCTCGGCACATCCCCTTTCCAGTTCTCTCAGCCGGGTCTTCTGGGAGCATTGCCCGGGTTAAGCCAAACACAGCCACAGCTTTCAAATGGTGTTCATACATCAAGTCTTGGTACCCAGGCCCTCAGTTCTAGTGAATGGAGCAGAACGGTCGGAAGAGCCTGGGCTAGTTTAGACAGCGCTACGGCACAACCAGCCAGCGGTAATTCAACACAAGTGACTGCCCAAGTTCTAAGCACATGTAAGTAAATACTGGGTTGCCTGTGTTTAACGTTGATATATTCAATATATCAACGTTAAACACAGGCAACCCAGGATAATGGAAATATCTTGTTGTTATATACGTAAATATTGGTTTGCTTTTGTTGAACGTTGGTATATATTAATGGAAATAACTTGTTGTCATATACGTAAATATTGGGTTTCCCTTGTTTAACGTTGATATATAGTAATGGGAATAACTTAGATATTATTATTTATCTTGTATTATTAGCTGGTGGAACAGGCTGTGTGTTGATGGTATATGGACTTAACCACGAGAAAATGAACTGTGAGAGAATCTTTAACTTGTTCTGTCTCTATGGCAACGTCATCAAGGTAATATTCCATTTGGTACTTATCTATAAATGATTTCAGCATCCAAAAAAATTCCAACCCCCAGACTGAGAATAGAGCCCTCGATAATTCCCTGCGCCATTTTGAGAGGTAACCTTAACCTTAGCAAGAATGGCGGTGACTTTGCAATAGGCCTTTTCTGAGTTCGATAAACAGGATGCATTGTGGTCTAGATTTGGTACAAGCAACACCATATTAGGCATGATGTTTGTACCCAAGCTACACAACCATGTTCGCTATCTTAAAAAAGGTCTACGATAGAGACCTTTTTTAACACCTTGGACAATTATACACGTGCCCGCTATCATTGCAAGGTCACCGCCGTTCTCGCTTCGATGCACACGAACGGTTACCTTTCAAGATGGCGCAGGAAACTACCAAAGGGGCTGACTTAGTGCAATTGGCTTATTGTTTTATTCCAGGTAAAGTTCCTGACTAACAAACCCGGTGCGTGCATGGTTCAAATGTCTGATAAAATTGCCTCCGAGATGGTCATCAGGAACCTGAGTGGTTCAGTCATCTTTGAAAGCAAGATCAACATCATGTAAGTAACCATTAGACGGAGGAGCTATTAAGTGCAATGCCAGCAGATCTCGGACGCAATCGTTTTGTCTCATTGCGCAATACGACAACTGACGGTGGGAGGGTCCCACGAATGATCCCTCGAAGGGGTTATCAACGTTAAACACACTCCTTTACAATTTATGCTGGTGCTGTTTGTTTCTACTTCTTCTCCGATACCTCTGTTGTTGCTCGAACAAATTGTAGATTTTTCTCTCTGTTTTCTACCAAGGTTGCCAGACACTTTGTGTTTTTTTTTTAATTTTTCAATTTATTAGTCTTACAACTATTACTTTTGAAGATAAAAAAAAGAAAAAAACTAGTCGAGGGAGAGAAAAGCAGGCGAGAGTCCCATATGAAATTCCTCCAAAAAAACGTTTACAAATACTAAATACTAATGATATTAATAGCTATCCCTGACGCTGTTACGTACCTGTTTTAACCAATTACTTTTTAACCAACATATTTCTGTTAAGAGCCTTCCTATCTTGGGTATAATGTTTTCCCATTTTAGACCACGATTTGTTAACCTAAGGAATGTGTTCTTTTTACGCCTAGGTTCTCCAAACATCCATTTATTGCCGATTCTTCAGTAGTGACAGCCCTACCTGATGGATCACCTTCTGCCATGAACTTTTCCGATAACAGGAATAACCGGTTTAAGTAGTGAGTAGTAGCTCTTTTAAATGGAGGGAGGGGTGGGTGGGTGAATGTACTTCAACATCTTACATCCTTTCACTTTTCTTGTTTTACTTTCCCACTTTATTTGATTTATTAATTTATGTGCTTTTGTTTGCAGTTTACCTGAGGGACAAAGTCTTAAGAACCGTATCCTTGTCATTGTCAGTCATTAATGCTAATATATAGTTACTAGCCTACAGGAGATTTTAAGTCTGTCATTTGATTTAGGGTGTTTTCTCTCGATTCTCCACGTTGTTCCTCCCTCCGCAATTCAATTTGTAAGTTAGCCGTCTATCCCTCACTCCTCCCAGAGTTTGCTTCATGTCTTGCGTTACAAATAAGGCATACGATTCAGTTCCTGTTGAAGTTCAAGTTCTTGTACAGATTCCTTAACGCGTTGCTAGGATACCAGCCACCAACGAGAATGCTGCATTTCTTTAATGCACCTCCTAACTGCACTGTGGATCACTTGAGAGACGTAAGAACTTTGCAATATGATTTTATCTGTATATCTGTCTCGAAAGATTTCTCCTTAATCTAAAGGACCAATCATTAAGTACAGGGGGTGGGGGTGGGGTGGGGGTGGGGGGAAGGGCTGGTGCATTTTACTTTTGATCTGCATATTTTCAAGACGCCCTTTCTTTTCCTGCTGCAGGACAGGCCCCATAATATTTGACTCAAAAAATAGTGACTCCCCTCAGCATGAATTTTGTGACTCTCCTTTTGAGTTTGCATAAAAAATGATGATTCTCCCCCATTTGCACCAACCCCCCCTCTAATTAAGAACCGGCCCTTAAATGAAGTCTTCACTCTGCGTAGGAGACAAGATGAGAGATACTAGATAGGGTCGATTTGGGTTTGTGTCCCTTAGAAATCTATTCATCTACTTATTTTTACCATTGCTCAAGTTTTCTGTACTCGTTGTCTAGGTGTTTGTCAAGGCTGGCGCATTGGCGCCGTTAAAGGGAACATTCTTTTCCAAAGGTAACCCAACCGTTATTGGAGCTGGTTTTAGTTGCTAGGGTAAATTATCAGCCTTAAATTGGGTGCTCATTGAAACCACGTGTCTTCCATTTCAGCCAATACCAAGTCGTCTGCTGGGCTATTAGAAATGGCCGATATCCGTTCAGCTATGGAAGCTTTGATCCTTACAAACCATTATACTATGAACTCACCAGGTAACCATAACAACGAGGTTACGTCATACCTAATGCAAGTGAAGAATGACAGAATGGGAAGGCGAGAAATTCTCATTTTGAATTTTTTATTTTATTTCAGGCGGTGGTTCGTTCACCTTGAAGCTTGCATTTTCTCCGAGCTCCTCTATCTCACCAACCGCTCCCACAGTAGCTCCCGCGGTGGCTGCAGCAGCGGTTGCCGCCACAAGTTTAAGTACCAATCCCTTAGGCCCCATTGGTTCGCCAATGCACTTGCACAACCCAGGAGGCAGCCCTAATGGAGTCCTTAGCAACGGAGTGATGGATATGAATAATGAGATGGAACATCACCTAAGCAGTCCTGAGAATCAAGGCCATAGTCCATAACAGGTTCAACAGGCTCAACAGGATCAACAGGATTCTTCCAGCTTCATGTACCGGTAAACAATCGTCCTACGCGCGCCTGGTCGATACTACCAGTAGATTATAATCAATTGAATCAAATTATAACTTCCAGTCGTAGTTTATAAAATGAACTATTCTTAACGCAAATGCGTTAACTCAACGCTCGGATCAAGCGTTTAGTCATTCGTTAGTCGTAAATGAGCATTCTATATCCCGTCGGTCTAAACCGTGCTGTTTTCGAGGTCCTCAGAGTTTTCCTCTCGGGGAATTAATGAGTTGGGCTGCCAGTCAAAACACGGCGCGTCCGACATAAAATGAAACTAGAAGTATTCCGTATTGTTTGGCGTTCCCTCTCTTCATATATTTAATACCATTCCCTGCAATGCCCGAGGGAGAGAGGGGTAAATTTCCTCCAGAACCTCAGCCGGGGAAGAGTAGACAGGTCTACTTAAAGGAAGAGACGTCCGAGCAGTGCGTAATAGATTCGACAGATCATTAGAGTGACTTACATACGTTCGTGCTAAGAATTCGAAAAGAATTCAAGTATTCAATAAACAGCTCCTAGATTAGTTTATTGAACTCGACGAATATCAAACCAAGAGTATTAACATTGTAGCTTATTTTAGAATAACTTTATCAGGCATGCCCAAGGCGCTACAAAATAATAGATACAAAAAATGTTTTCAATGATTCTTTATTAATTTAGAACTTTAATATAGTACAATATGATAATTCAATACATTTTGATGCTGTTTTATTCCATTCCAACATTTTCAAGTAGTATAGTAAGCCCAATACTCGAAGGTAGCCAGGCCTGAATGCGAGGACGAGGCTCTTGCTTAAAGGCGTGGCTACTATTCAAGATGGCGTCGCTATCTATTTCAAGAGATCAGAAGTGGGATCGAGGTGGCCTGGACTTTAGTTTCGTCCCATTAGCTCATCGTAATGTTTTTTTGCATCATTATTATTTGAGGGCAGCCATTTTGGATTTTCTCGACAGAGGAATTGAAATCTGCCGAGAATCTCGTAATAGACCTCGGATTTTTTTTGCATTGTATCCGACGTGCTGCAGCTTAAATGCAGTAAAAACATATTCCTTCTTCATGTTCGCGTCATAAATCATTCATGTACACATCGCAATACGCCATTCGAATTCGTTTTGGCGGGGCATAACTTTATAAAAATTAAACGTAAAAATTTACTTAAGGCGGAATATATCTAAACTAAAACAAAGCTGAATCCAAAACCGACGGAAATCATAATATTAGTAATAATACTAATAATGAGTATTTGGGTCTTTCGCTAGTCCAAAAACTCATCTTAGATTCCTGATTTTTTCCGAGCTTCGCCAAGACTTCGACAGAATATTATCCATCTTTTAGTTATCCACGTTCCTAAACGCATCCATGACGTCACGAACAGGTACCTTCGATCCCACATGGTCTATCACAACAGCATATTGATTACTAACAATCAACCCAATCTCTATAAGTAAGAGAGACACGTATAATTCAATTCAGATGTCTTTACACAGATAAATATTCCAAAATAACAAGGAATTTAAAGAATTTCAGAGTTTATATTCGATGTATTAATTAAATAAGCGGACTATCCGTGATAATTCCAAATTATAGTTTACTAAAATTGAAATATTCAAGCAATACATTTTCAGATATTCCAATTACTTTCCTCGCTCACTATAATTAGTGAGTTCAATGGTGGAAATTTCCAATATTCTTTTATTGTCGTACTTAGACAACTATGTAGAACGAGATCACAAGAAGGGTCGTAAAAATCGCATTCGTTTGTCCTTCATCAGTTCTATTCTCTTCCAGCTCGACATTTATCTCGTAAATCAGAGAGTTTAAAAATAATTTTATTCGGTGAATATGCGCTGGCATAGTTTTAAGGTCCTAAGTTTTTCACGTTGGTTTTTGGTAACTGTTTGGGTGGAGTTTGCATGCATGAGTGGGTTACGTGTTAAATCAAGATAGATGGATGGTTAAACAAACAAAAAACTACTTAAATACTAAAATCAATAGGAAGAGAAATTTATGTTCAAGGTAGTTTAAGATCTCGTAAGATTTACCTCCGAGGGCAAAGGAAGACTGGTGACGAACTCCACCAGCATGGAACTGTGGGAACGAATTTAGGAGCAACGACTTCGCGTAGTGAGTCTTAGATTCGATTTCACCATAGTTCCTTTTCACTCTTCCACTTGTCAAATAGTTTGAATTTCAGTAAATGGAATTACTATATTGTGCCCAAATTTTGCCTATTCAACGTGTTGAGAGCAAGCGAGCTGTTTTTGTCGAGTTTCAACCGTACAATTTCAATAAGTCAGATAAAAAAGAAAAGAAAATATAATTTTGTCATTTTTGCAGAGTTTAATATAAATTTTGTTTAGCGCATTTATTCGCATATATTTTGTAGTTCAGCCTTCGTAAATCTAAATGTACTAAATATTGATAGAAGTGATGCTCCGAGCAAATGATTCACTCGTAATTTCTTAGTTGTTTAAGACCGTTATGGTATTAGATATATTCGTATAACAGCCTTTTCTGCTGGACGCCAAATGCAACTGCAAAATCCGTAGGGACTGGGGCTGATAGATGTATGACGTCATTACTCGCCCTAGTTTCCTTACGAACCAGTTGTCAAAAAAAGTGATTTAAGTCAACGTACGAACACTAACTTTCAAAAGTTTCTTTGCTCACCCTACACTTCATGCTACAGTTTCTATACTGAAATTGCTTTTGCCCCAAATATTTCTACCTTACCTTTTGCCGTAAGACTTTGGTTGCAGTAGAAAAGGCTAGGTATTCACGCAATTCGATATAGACAGACTAAATATTATCAAAAAGTTAGATTGTGATAAGCATCGTTTTTACAAACAACGTTACGTTTAGTAACTCGAGTAAGCTCGTATGAAGCCAGTATTATACTGGGGTATTGCCTGCCATAAACATAACTCATTATCAAGTGTTACCTTAACAATTTCTTAGAAAACATTTTCCTCTAAAGAGAAGAAATCCATTATATCACGACCCCATCATGCCGTGCGGCTCTTTTCAAAATGGCGGAATTTCGTGACGATTTGCACCTTATTAAAAACCTTTCCTTGATATGAGTTGTGATTTGAACGTGTAATGCCTCAAAAAATATTAACAGTCTTAACTTTGCTACAGCATTCGCTTTAAAATTTATTATTATTATTATTATTACTATAACTTCTCGTATTGATAAGATTAATCGTACTATTATTATTATTATGGTTATTGATATTATTACAAATATTCTATTGTTTTATCTATTGTACACTAAGCTAGTGCATACCACGTTCATGACGTCATAAATGAGTATATTAAGGATATAATAACAGTAAAAGTTCTGTTAAGAACAGGATATACAGTTCACGTACCAATACACGACGACATTAACTTTTTTAACATTCATTTTCATTCACATGCTTTTCTAAAGATGCTTGTCAGTTTGGTCATGACAGGGATCGAGAAACGCCTCCAAGCCTATTGCTTGGTTATTAGCTGTCACGTGTTTCCAAGCGTAAGCTTTTATTGGCTTTAATCTATCACATTACTATAATAAGATTCATTGGCTGTTCATATCATATGTCACCTTGTTGGTAACCTAATATGGCTACAAAGCATCTTATTGGTTGTTGACGTCATGTGACTAAGAAATGTTCAATTATTGATTCACTGAAACGTTATCGCCATGAGACATTTCTATATTTGTTCCAGTTTTTGATTGGCTGCATATTGTTGTGGCCAATTTTCCTTGTCACAGAATTCGTCTTGATTGGCTGTTCAATGTCACATTTACACGAGACGCAGTGATTGGCATGCAAACGCGTTTTCTCTTTCCTTGTCATGTTAACCAGTATCTATTTAACTTAAGGTTGTGTATATTATTAGTATCTATTAGTTATTACTCGTACCCATACCTCTCACTCTTCCCCAAAGCAGTTTATCGATTCCATCACTAGATAACGTAATATTTAAAAAAATATTTTTGAAAAAGTTGAATTAAAATCTAAAGACTTATGAGAAAAAAAAGTTCAGACTCTGAAACTTTGAAAGGAATTGAATGAGATTGTCATGTCCAGTTTCTTCTCTCCTACTAAAGGCTGTGTTGTCTCGGGAGCCTGGGACCAACTCCCCTCCTTGACAATGCCATGCCCAGTGAGAAACGAAACTGGCCTCATAATGATTCATTATCAAGAAAGTGAAACATGGTATGGGTGCATAGTCAAATGTTCTATTTTTTTATGTTCTTTCTTAACCAGTGTTTACCGTCGTCTGTCGTTATAAATTGCTGCACACACATAGACGAAGGCATCAGTCTCTACTTCAAAACCTATTTTCCTTTTATTTTGATTATGATTTCTTTATCTTTTGTTATTCTATTTTTGGTTTTTGCTCATTAAACTTTTAATTCAAATACTTAAGTATTATTGAGCTGACGTTCGATCCTTTAAATTTCATTCTGCAAGAAATGATACCGAGATATATGTAGACATCGAGCTTGTTTCGCATGTCTTAAGATGTTATCCAAACATCTTTGTTTCTCGTGTACCGCCTGGTCAGCGCGCTGTAATTTTAAGACGGGCGAGAAAAATGCCAGCATTGTAGCTCGGGTCGCTTTTACAAGACGAGCTTCATCTCTGGGCTTTGGTTTGTTGTCGTTTGTTCTCCAGCGGTTGCCAAGTTTCTGCGACCTCCACGATTACTATTACCAACTCAGACCATCACAAATTTGAATCAAGGAAAACAGTAGTTGGAGGACATCATCCAACATCTGGAGTTATACCAGTTTTCGCAGAAACATGACAACTGCTAGATCTAACTCTACCATATACATGACGACCTATTTATGAAACAGACCACAGCTCATTATGCGAAGTTACTTGAATCGCTCGTTTCGGATTTACTTAAAATCATCGTCATGCACGTTCTTTCTAAAAAAAATTTTTTTTTATTTGCAGCAATAGATCAAATTCAAAACTCGCACCGATGTGAGGCTTAAGTTGTGAACAAAGGAATCTGGCGTGATTCGTGACTTTTGAATCACGCCAGATTACTTTGAGTCACGCCAGATCCCTTTGTTCACAACTTAAGCCTCATATCGATGCGAGTTTTGAATTTGGTCTATAGATTAATGTTTTCCATTCGCCATTTTGATAAAGCCCACTATGAAATATATTTTGTCACACATCATCACGCTCATCTCGATTCATATAAACCTTACATTAATGATCCAATGATCGTAGCTCTTTAAGAGTACAATTTGATAGAGCAGAGCATGAATCCCCCACACAGTCCTTCAATGGTTGAATTGATATTTTAAGGAGATTAAAAGTAGAACAGAAAAAATGGTGATGTGATTGATTTGCACTCATTCACTCATACGCATTGGGAACAAAACTGTATAACCATGGTCAGCAGCATGAGGATAACAGGTTTGGAGACGGAAGTCACGAATAGGCTCTTTGCAGCTAAGCAATCACGTGTTCATTAATTCGCTGAGAGCAAATGAATACACATTTTGATTCCCATGGGGGAAATTTACTAGTGAGCAAACAAACTTTCTACAACCTGTTTTGAGAGATCGTAATAAAACTGCATTTCGTAACACACTGGAAACACATCTTTTCATTCAGTTCCTTACAAGTACCTAAAAAGAATCACCAATTTAATATAAAAACATAAATTTTGCCCTCCAGTACCGGACACGTGACCGTTAACTGCAAAGGGCCTACTGGGAAATTCTTCCAGGTTTTTTTCTGTAACAGAAGGAAAGAATACTTTTTTGGAAACTCGAAACTTTAACAAAAAGAGATATAGGTGGTGAGCATGTCTTGCATCATCCTCGGTAACCCAGGGGTAAAATTCTCTCGCTCTTTTCTGGTAGCGAGAAACGAGCGACAGAATTCTACCGCAGGCTTCTCGAGGATGGGCTTGCATACCAGCAACACATTCCTCGTCAAATTTCGAATAGTCTAATTGCCTTCTTCCATTGTGAAATGAGGCAATTAGACTCGAAATTTGAAGTATCTGTAATCTGATGTTTTGGCTTTTGTCGCTTACAGTTATATTTGACCAGATTACATGCGTGGGCTCCCTGTGGTAACATTTATTTACTCTCGTTAATGGGTTCCCTGTGGCACCTGTTAGCTAATTAGTCAAGACCTGCCGGTTTGATGTCCTTTTGTTTATTGTTTTTGTCGGACGTACCTGTCCCAACACGTACAGGACGATTATGTAGTCGTTTTGAGAAAATTTCAAGAAATATCGATGAAGATCGATAGTAGCAATGTTAACTGATAAAACAGTCCTGTTATCTCTGTTATTCGTGCTCCAGCAAGTAGAGTATACGTGCGGTGCACTGATACATACGAAACAAGATGGCGTGCGAAGAAACCCCGGCGAAAACCGACGAGTTTTGTTGATATCTTTGGACGGGTTTGGATGGGACTACATGAACAAGACTTCTACTCCTAACCTTGATTACATCGCGAGAACAGGCGTACAAGCCGAATACCTCCGTAGTTCTTTTCCTACCACCACGTATCCGAACCACTTCACCATGGTAACGGGACTTTACCCAGAAACTCATGGTATAATGGCCAATTATATGCGCGACCCTGAGTTAAAAGGTAGATTTGACATATATAATTCTGATCCCAAGTGGTGGGGTGCGTTTGGGGCGGTACCCCTCTGGATAACCAATCAAGAACAAGGGGGACGAAGTGCTGTGATTCACTGGCCTGGGTATAATGTTCCTTTCGAAGGAAAGACGCCAGACCTTAATCTTGAGTCACCGTCATTTAACATTGATCTGAGAAATAAGTCTGGTAAAGTCATGAGTTACGAGGGAAGGATTGATTTGTTGATGAAGTGGTTGAAAAGTGAAAGCCCTCCGAACTTCATCGCGATGTACTTTGAAGAACCAGACGAGGTGGGACATCTGTACGGCCCGAAGTCGGAAGAAGTAAAACGCATGATTCGCAAGATGGATAGTGTTGTAGGAGAGGTGCTGTTGCGCCTGCGCGCTGAGGGACTGCTCGACAGCACCAACGTCATCGTCACGTCAGACCATGGGATGGAAGAGATTTCTTCATCGAGACAAATCTTTGTGGACACTTACGTCGATCCATCAAGTTATGACATATGGGACAGATCTACTAATCTTATGATATCACCCCACAACAAAGACCACGCAGAAGATACATATAACCAATTCAAACAGATCCCACACGTGAAAGTCTACTGGAAAGCAGATATACCAAAACAATACCATTTCGCAAACAATCGAAGAGTACCCGAGATATTCGTTATGGCCGATAATGGCTGGGCAATAACCGTAGGAAAGCCGCCAAAGAACCCCAAGAAATGGATTAAGGGTACTCATGGATTTAGTAACGAATACAAGTCACAGAGAGGTTTCTTCGTAGCGCGTGGTCCAGCTTTCCGTGTGGGATACAAAGCCAAGGGGTTTGATAATGTTCATTTGTACCCACTGCTTTGCAGGTTATTACGTGTGACACCAAGACCAAATAACGGTACCTTAGTACCAACTAATCACATGCTAAGATCTGACTTTGATAGGTGATTATATTGCCCTCGATTTAACCTGGTTCTCTTTTGTGACGCAAGCATTAAGTAAAAAATGCAAGCCAACGCAAGAAAAACAAAATCTTCCGTTCTCTTGCGCTTGCATCATTTCTTTTCATAGTAGAAACATAGAGTTGCGTCTGCTTGTGCCACTAGTGAGAACAAGGCTTCAGTTTGAATCTCACCATCAAAGTTTCTATCTGTGAATATTTAACACAGAAATGAGGCTAAGCCTGCGTAAATGAGTAACACGCCACTTGTATAGGATGTCAAATTTTGCAAAGAGGAAAAGTGGAGAAAAACCCCAACAAATTGTACTCACATGTCGTATTGAGCCAGTCAAACCCGAGACCCTAGATGTGAGAGGCAAGTGTACTACCACTAGACCACCCTTGCTTTTCAATCAACAGACAGACAGACAACTACTGATGACAGATATGGATAATTTAATGGAAAAAATGTTAACACAAGTTATGTATCTAAGGTGTCAACTGGAATGCTATCATTATAGCTTACATTATCTGTCTCATGGCGTGGCCATGTTTATTTTGCTGCTAGTGAGAACTATACAATGATCTAAAAGAGCAAAACAAGAGCATAGAAAATGCTGAATATACACATGGTTAAATATTTACAAAAAAGCTATAGCTATTACTAAGAGGTATATGCAATCCTATATAATATTATTCTACCTTTTTCAAATTAGCTGCACATTACGGACCTCAAGAAATTTCTGTCACATCAATAACATTTTCATCTTCCATATCGAGATCTACAGGCGTTTCACTGCCTGTCAGAGAGTCGCCATCAAAAAGAAACTTAAGTTTTGATCTTGGTAGCTGGTGAAACTCAGAATATTCCTTGAAAAGCTTTTCTAGAGGTTGGCTCTGAAGAAATAAGGAAAGCAATAGTTGTTTTATAAGTGGGACGTTTGGTTTTGCTATGTTTTCTGCTAAGTAGGAGTTTTGCACTTAAACCCTTATTAACCTCACACAGAAGAGTAGAGTACATTTAGATTTTGAAAACACCATTAAACAGCCTCAAAACTGGCTGAGACTGAACAAACAACAACTGTAAGAGATTTTCTATTCAGAAAATTTAGGGAAAGTTTTGTGATGGGGTAGGAAAAATCAAACGCAACATCTTCAGCACTTTGAAAGATCTATACATGTAACTAGTGAAGGTGCTCAACTTCAAAACAATCCCCACCTTAGAAACTTGGAAGGTTTTTCTTGATGTCACAGTGTTGCCCTGCACTTTGATTTCTATGTAATCCTCCTCTTCCACAGCAGCACATGAATCCATAATTACACACTCTGTTTAAATGAAGAGGAAAAATACCAGGTCCTTAGCAAATAGAGTCAAAATAATGCCAGCACAACAACCCAAGAAAGACTGCTTAATGAGTATACGAATTTACCTATATATCTGCTACTGTTAAACTCTTCGTTAACGGAGGGACAGCATGTATGTAACTGGGCCTACATGTGCATGTTCATACCATCCATTAATACTCACTACTGTTGCACCCTTCATTAATGATGAAGCAAAGGCTTGGTCAGATATACCTACCTACAATATCTGCTACTGTTACACCCTTTGTTAATGGCGTATCATCTGGCATTATGTTGACGTCTTTAAGTGACAACAAGATGTTTTCTACAGGAACATTTTGTGATTTGGCAAGCTCATTTATTACAAACTCAAACTTGTCTCCCTGGATAACAAAGAAAAATTTTGTTAGATTTTAGATTTTTGTTTATTCCATTCCTTTTCCTTGTAAGAGGTAGGTGTAGTAGGGGAGTTAGTGTGGTGTGACGAAACTAATAGTGGCTGCGTAGGAGACGAGTTAGGTGGTGAATGATATTTCTTTGCTCTAATGTAATAATAATATTAGTAATAACTTCCCGCTAATGGCCCATTGAACATTATACCCCTTACCGCAGTTGAACAGAGCAGTTTGTTGGTTCTCTCCTATACTTTGAGGGTTTTGCTATGGGATTTCTGATTTTCCTCTCTCTAGAAAAATCATGCATATTTATAGCGATCATGTGAAAAACCAATCAAATAAACTTGGCTCTTCTTCCACTGGATTCCAATTGGAATTTAAATGTTGACTTTTGCCGAGGGAGGAAAACTGGAGAAACCAGAGAAAACCCCTCTAAGCACAAAAGAGAACCAGCAATCAACTCTACTAACATAAGACACCCCAGCCTAGAGGGACTCGAACGCAGGTCAAATTGTGAGAGGGTTTACAGTCAACTTGCCCACGGACCAACTCACCCATTCCAACTCACCCACTTATAAAATCATCRATCATGCGTTTCCCAACTCGCCCATGTTTAGAATCACTTAAAGAAATATCTAACCTTATATTAAGACTAAATTAAAGTAGTTTGTGATTTACGATATACTCCACCTGTGCTTCCCAATAACCTTGGTACTTACTGCCTTCATGTTAAATTTTTTAATCCCAGAGCTTGTTCTCACTTTGACATCCACTTTACGATCAACACTGTTTCTGTTAAGAACTGGAGTATCAATATCATCCAAAATGATAACTCCTGTTGAACGGTTTACTGGTGGTGTGGCGGGAGAGCTGGAGTCGGCAGCAACCGCTTCTTTTAGTGAGTCAAATGCATGTTCAAATTCCCTGACATGGAAAGGATTTAAAATACCTACTTGAATTTTCTTTCTCATATTAATTTTTACTAACATAATTTATCATTATTTGCTAAGTATTAGTTAGTAGAGTGAAGGCATTTAACCCGTGAAATAAAAAATGATAGCCAATGTGTAATAATCAATAGACACAAAAGAAAACAATGGAATTAGGGTCTACTAAAGTGCATCAGTCTAATGTCTATTTCATCGGTTTAATGACTTCACTCTATTCCAAGGTAAATGCAGTACTGTAATACGTTATGATGTCTTTAGGAGTATATTCATTCATTCATTTATTTATTTTCCATTTCACTTTCACTGGTCTGAAATGGAATTATGATATATGCCCTGATAAGGAGGGATGTGCATTAGGAGAGGAGGGTAGAGGGTAGGATAGGATATTAGGGTAGGGTAGGGCAGGGTATAAGGTAGGGTATTAGGGTAGGGTGAGGTATTAGGGTAGGGTAGGGAAAGATATTAGGGTAATAGAATGTCTGAATCTCCTATGTGCAGGGATGTCAACTTTCCCAGATAAACCCGGAGTCTCCAGATTTTGGACTGTATCTCCCGGTCTCCAGATTAGAGTCTCAAATCTCCCGGATAATTGCTGAAGCTGACCATTTCTTGTGAGACTCGACTTTCACAACCATAAAATTCCAATTATTTTGTGTTGTTTGTGTCATTTTACATCGCTTACAAAATCAAAAAATTCCTCGTAAACTGTTCTTGCAAGCAGGCCATTGTAATATAAGCAATATTCTGATTGGTCAGAAATAAACCAATCACATCAAATGTTACAAAGAGAATGACATCTTTTCGCGCACTTTTTCCGCTGTGACGTCATGTCCCTTTCCCTATCAATTCTCCAGATTTGAATATCTCGGGGGTTGACAGCCCTGTATGTGGGACTGGAGGGTCTCAGTAAGTTTTGTACTTTTATGTAGTAGAAAGTTCGTCAACAATAAATGAGTACTAGATTGAAGGATCTTTACCTGGTTGTATTTTTTGCTTTTAATTGTCTCTGAACTCTGAGAAGCTCAGCTTGAGATGGAGGAGGAGGAGGTGGTGATGGAGATCTTTTGTGGCTAACATTTATACTTTTATTTACACTACTGTCGTCATCACTGTCACTGTTGAGAATAATGAATACAAAATTAGCAACAACATGAAGCCACTYTTACGTTTTTGCAAGTGGAATTATACTGAGTTTGTATACAGGCTATAATGGCAGCCATTACAGGAGGCAGGAACAACTGAATCAGATCCAGTCTGGTTTACATGACAAGGAAATATTCAGTTTCCTTGGGAGAAATAACTATTGTCGTGCCTCTAGCTGTTATGGCTGCCATCGAGTGATGGTGCAAAGTTTTATTCTTACCTGAACTGCATAAGTTACCCTTCATAAAAACAGCATGTGAGTTGAGTGGTGTGTTTTGTAAATATAGAATGTAATGGTAATGGCGAACCTTGCAAAAGACATAAGTTAACTTTACTTTTACTGTCCTAATGTCAATAAGTAAGCTTATTAAGTATTAATAGGACTATTACATTACGATTATGTTCAATTGGGGAACCACTTAATATCAATTTATATGAAAACGTCTATRAAAAAGAATAATATTGAGCTTGTCAAAACAGAATAATCACATTTCATCAACATTGTATCGACTCACATGTTTTGTATTTCTTGGCTGTCATCATTGAAGCTGTCATCCAATATATCATCATCATCGTCAATAGTTCTCTTGAACTCTTGAGGACCATCTTCATCAACATCATCATCATCATCATCATCTTCATCAGAGCTGTCTATAGTTATTGGTATTCTAGCGGACTTTGTAGAATAAGAAAAAGTCAAGTTGATCTGGTTGTCATACGAAAACAAGTCCAAGTCAGGAGCAGAACGCTTTCGCTTTTTGCTCAAGTCAGCTTTCTGATTAGCTTCAGTGGTTAGTGCTTTAGCTTCCTTTGAAGCCATTTCAAGCGTTTCGCTTTTGTTTTTCACATCAGACACGGTTTTTGTTTCAACAATTGTCGTTGACAGCTAAAGTTGCTCTTCCGCCATTGCCGCCATTTTGTGTCCCAGCAGTCCATTGGAAAAGATTAGTACGTAACCTTCACTCGGATAAACTATACAAAGGTAAACCATCACAAGCTAAACGAAAACAAAGAATTACTGAAAAAATAAACAAGATTTTACTGATGAATTTTAATTTAAGAAATACACGTTTTCGTTTAGGACTACAATTTTAATTTTACATGTTTTACATTTTCCGGCCATTTTGTGTCCCATCCCGGCCCAGGACTCCTTTGGGGCTGGTTTACCAGTTTCTCTCGGTTAATTTATGCCAAGCTAAACCAACACCTGAACTTCTGAACAAACAAAAATCAAACATAAGAAAAAATAAAATCTGAATAAACACGTGAATTAATACAAGATTTTAAAATAAGGTAAGAAAATAAGCTTCGTATTCTTTCATCCATTTCTGTTTGTTGATTTATTTGATAGGTTACATAAAATTAAAATTAGGAATTTTTTCCCCTAGTGTCAGATCATTTGAAGAAGTATGAATGTGTTGGTGTGTTGTCGTGTAATACTGTGCCTAACAGGAATCGGTTTATCCGTCTATGCTCTACACGTGGAGTTATCTAAGACCCAGGACGATAACTACAAGGCTTTATGTGATATCAGTGAACACATGAGCTGTTCAAAAGTCTTTGCATCCAAGTAAGTGGTAGATGGTACATACAGATTTTGTTACTAATAAAAGTTCATAATTATTAGCCACTTAGTTTCCATTATGTAGGGTAATATAAGTGTACTTTTTAACGTTTTCTTGGTGTTTGACCAGGCATGCTTCTATATATTATAAGAATTTAAAAAGTCAAAAATTTATTTCATATTCCATTTTATTGGAAGATACTAAGGTCATATTACTTTTACTGTCCCTTGATGTATAAATAAACCCCTTCACAGTTCCCTCCACCATCTTGAAAGGTAACCGTGCCTTTGCATCGAAGCAAGACGAACATTGAGCTCACAATGATAGAGACATTTTTTTAACACCTTGGACAATTATTCACATGTCTCTATCATTGCACGCTCACCGTTCGTCTCTCTTCGATGCAAAGGCACGGTTACCTTTCAAGTTGGCACAGGGAACTGTGAAGGGGGCTATTGATGTAAAACCATATTAAGATTATAATATTTAAAATATGGATAGATAGAACATACGTTTTTGGCTGAATAAAATGCTAGTACATATTTACAGGCTATTTACTGGTCAGGAGTTCTGGATATGGAAAAACTGTGCAACAGGTTTTGAAAATAATTAGTCCAATTTTAGTCTTATGTTTCCTATTCTGCCACTTTTTCCAATCTTGATCACTACATGCAATAACATGGTCAACTGTCTTATGTTATATTAGGTATGGCACAGGTTTTGGACTAGTTGAACCAGTACTCGGAAAAGACTCACCACTGAATATACCAAACAGTATCTTTGGAATTGTATTCTACTCTCTCGTTTGTATCTTAGGTAGGTATTATGAAATATGCACCTTAGTATTGATGTTAACCCATTGACTGCAGAGCACCCTAATAAGTGTGTGTGTGTGGGGGGAGGGGCTAAGATTGGAAAATATACGAGTCTAGTATGGAAAACAGGGAGAACTAAGATTGGAAAATATAGGAGAGTAGTATGGGAAAAGGGAAAAAGTTGGGCCCCTGTAACCCCTGGAATAGAGGCAGATGCCACAGGCAATTTTCCTACCCCGCCCTGGAATCTAATGAATGTCAAATTAGGGTGACCTAGACAGCAAGAACCAATCCAATCATAGAATGACAACAATGCATTCTGACATTGGTTAGTGGAGCCAAACAGAAAGCAGCAGAAAACAATAGCCTTTCAATATATCTTTTTATCTTTTATGAGCCGTATCTGCCAGGGCGCACGCTCTTAAAAAAACCTTTGGGAAAATGGCATGAGCAGGGCCATATGGCTTTGAGCGAGCAGGGCCATATGAATCTGTACGGCCCTGCTTGAAACCTGCAACCGTATTTTCTTTCTTTTCTTTTGTTATTTTTCTTTTCGTGAGGATCATACGATAAAATGCTTATTCAATTAGTTAGGTTGGGCCATACGAGAATATACTTGACTCTCGGTCACTTGTACAGACCGAGTGCAGCGAGCATCACCTTGAGCCAAATATTTTCTCGTACGGCCCTCCCACTCAGTCAATAAGTACATATTATTCCCAGGAGAAAATGATGATGGCTATCCAATTGTTTACAGGCAACATTAGGGTCAAATTGCCATTCTCATGCAGTCTAGGTTTCTGATTGGCTCAGGTACCTAAAGTTGGATTGCATTGTTTTCATTCTACATTTTCATTGGTTCTCTTGTCTAAATGGTCTAGTGGCCCAGGTTACAGTAGTTTCACAGTGAAGTGGTGCACTGATAGAGAAGGAGAGGTTGTAAAGAGCACAATTTTGATCTCCTTTAATGGTTACTCTGCTTTGCTGAATACATCTTACCTACCTATTTGCCTTTCCATCATGAAGGGCATTGGATGGTTGTTGGGCATGTGATTGTGTGTGTTGGAGGGGGAGATAGCCAGGTGATAGGTGGGGTTATATCAATAGTCTCCCTTTTTGAGATATTTTATGCAATATAACTAAATTCTTATAAGCATGTTCTAATATTGAAATTCTGACTTTCCTGTGCATGTATTATTTTTCAGGTCTTTTCAAAAGTAAATTTGCAGCCATGACAATATTTCTATTTTCTGTAACATCCTGTATAGGATCAGTCTATCTTGGGTACATACTGTACTTCGTTCTACATGATGTATGTGTGGTGTGTATATCAACGTACATTGTTAATGGTCTACTGTTTATTATAAATTTTATTTCTTTACGAAAAGCTTCTTCAGTGAAAAAGTCAAAGAGGGAGTGAAAATTAAAGATGCAGTAAGATTTACATTGATGATATGTTACACTCATTTGTACCGCATGCATATCAACTTCGTGATTCTAAAAGACCAATTTAGCTTGGGTCTAATGTTTTTTCTATTTCAGACCACGTTATTCCCCTGAGTATTATTCCTTTGTTTAACAGTTGAGCATGAGGAGAAACTTGGTTATAAATCCAACTCAAATGAAAAAATATCTCATTCTTAAGAAAATGACACGGGGTTTGAAATGTAGAAACATTACTGGCATTACATGAATCTGTCGTATGTCGTAACGTCTGTTCATATTTCATGTTACTTTCTACAACTTCTTCCAGGACTTTTTGATTTGTATCTTTGTAGAAAATAGAGACTCTAGGATAGAACAGGGATCCTTGAGCTCAAGCATTGCAGGGTAAACAATGCCATGCAATCGTCCCTTAGCTAGCAGTTGGAGCAGTATTACTATATTCATCCTGTACACATCTACGCTTCCCACCACAAACTATCCTCACAGCCTTGCGGTACTTTGGAACTCGGAATATCAAAACTAAAGGATCCAATAAAAACTTCAGGAATAATATATTTTTTCAAATGATTCCAACAAGATGCAGACTTGAATCGCGATAGTCAATAAGACAGGGTGGTGCGTAGTAAAGTGTTGATGAAGAACGGCAACGCAGCAATGAGAAAGAGTAATATGATGATAAGTGTTCCCTGAGTGAAAAGCTCCTTTTCAATGCAAGTGTATTCTTGAACGTAGGATGCATTCATTAGTGAAGGATTCGTATCCACTACGTTTAAAAGTTTTATTTTCAATTGTTTGTGTTTGTTTGTTGTTCGTAGGCTTTTCATCATTAACTACCTTATTCAAGCATATGCTCTATATGCTGGCAGTCTGGAACAAACACCATACGCCCCATTTATATTCAAACCCAGCGTTATAATATTCGAGACCCGGCGTTTAATCGAGCAAATACGGACAATACAGTACTATCTTTTTGCTTGCATGATGCACAAGATGCGAAACGTATTTTTGTCAGATAATGAATAGTAACTATTACGGACACCCAGTATTGAGCATTTCCAGCGTTCTCTGAGGAAGGAGGGTGTAGTTAATGGTAGGATGCACCCAGGGGCGTAGCGAGGTCTCGATGTACCCACAGGAATCCCGCTTGAATTAATTAAATTTTGGTTCCGAGAGCAAAAATTACACCTAAATCTATAGAATTTAGTCCCTATTTGGACCATTGTACGTTTTGATATCCAACTAAAATATTTCATTACAAAAGGACATTCCCCCACACTGCTACTACAGAATGACTTCCTGTGTTCACTGTCATACAAATCCTACCACCATGAAAATCTTTTTTTAGAATTCTAGACTTTATCTGGCAGTGTGTTGTTTAGAAAGTACGAAAGGGATATTCTAAGGAAGATGTTCAACTGATATTCTTGGATTCTTCGTTTTTCCGTTTATCCCGTTATTAAGTCAACTCTTAATTGTTTATTTTTGTCAATTTGTTGTTATTTTGTGTTCCTGTTGCAGGGTTTTTCCCAAATTCAATACCGGCGAGATTTTACAAATTAGATGATTCTGATTGGTTGCTGATGATGTCGTTAGTTACTAAAATTAGCAACAATAGGAACGAGTATAAGAAGCATAGCGGTCAGCGGACTGTACAATGAAGGGAAATATTGTTGAAAAGGTTTTGCAAAGCTGATGATGGAATTAGTCTTACTTTACTTTACTTTATTTCTCCCCGATGAGGGAACTATCAGAAGCTAGCGATGGCTAAACGAACGTACACTATTAAGGATAAAGAAATCGAGATAAAATTTGAAGTTGATGCTCGGTACAAGTTGATTGAGAGCATTGGGAATGGTGCGTATGGCGTTGTGTGTTCAGCATTGGACACAAAAACTGGAGCAAAAGTGGCCGTAAAGAAGATTCCACGAACCTTTGATGTCTTAACTGTTGCAAAAAGAACGTACAGGGAGCTTAAGATTTTAAGGCACTTTCGCCATGATAATATCATTTGCATCAGGGATATCATGAAACCTCCAGAAAACAAAGACGAATTTAACGATGTGTATGTGGTATTTGATTTAATGGAGGCCGATTTACACCGAATCATTCACTCAGACCAGCCGCTCACAGACGAGCATGTTCGATATTTTCTATACCAAATATTACGTGGATTAAAATACATACACACGGCTAAAGTTTTACATCGTGACCTAAAGCCAAGTAATCTGTTAGTCAACGAAAACGCCGAGTTGAGAATAGGTGACTTCGGGATGGCAAGGGGGTTGTGTTCATCGCCTGTAGAACAAAAGCGTGTGATGACAGAATATGTAGCTACAAGATGGTACAGAGCACCAGAGTTAATGCTTTCATTAAATGAGTATTCTGAGGCTATAGACATGTGGTCTGTTGGTTGCATTTTCGCTGAAATGCTTGGTAGAAAGCATTTGTTCCCAGGGACGAATTATTTAAATCAGCTACAGGTTAGTGTGTCACATAATAAATGCACTTGAATGGTTTTCGCGTGACATTTAAGTGGGTCTTTCACTCTTTGCAAAAAAATCATGATAAAATCTGTTAAATATTTTAACTAAGTTACTACAGTAATTGATCAATTTATATATGAAATTAATAAGTTAGAGATAAACTTGAAAGATACAGTAGGTAAATTTGACATCTGAAGGCTGGTTCACACTAGCGACGGAAGCGGAATTGCAAGCGGAATTGCAAGCGGAGTCATAAGAGGGGCTTACAATTAAGTGTGAACCAATATTCGGAATCAGAAGCAGAAGGGAAGACAGAATAAGAAAGTTTGCTTTTTCTTCCAACTCCAGTTCTGATTATGACACTTATGATCAAGTGTAAACCAAAGAATCGGAATCAGAATTGTAAGCTTTGACCAATGAAAAAGCTCATGCCCAGGCCATTCAGAGCAGAAAACATGGCGTCCTCCTTGACCTGGTAACTATGGGAACAATAAAGGAGGGAGCACCAAAGCGAGGCTTATGATTCTGCTTGTGTTGTTTTGATTCACGCTAGATTGCAAGCTTCTTTTGCTTCTGATTCCTCTTTCGATCCTGACTCCAACACTTAAGAAACTAGCTGTGTGAACCAGACTTAAAATTTCAGTCTTCTCCTAACAATAATATGTACTTATTGACTGAGTGGGAGGGCCGTATGGAAAAATATTTGGCTTGAGATGATGCTGTATGGACCGAGTGCAGTGAGGTCCATACAAATGACTGAGAGCTAAATATTTTCTCGTACGGCCGGACCTAACTCAGTCAATAAGCATTTTATCATATGACCCTCACGAAAAGAAAAATAATAAAAGAAAAGAAAGAAAGAAATAGTAAATAAAAGCTATCTGCCCAGGTAGATACGGGTCATATGATAATTATTTTATTTTATATTATCACCACCACCATCATCATCATTATCATTATCATCACCACCATCATTATCATTATCTGCATTATCATTATCATTATGGTTTTTAAGCGTATGCAGTTCAACATTTTACTGTATTTTACAGCACTCTTACCATGGCTAAGACAAACCATGATATTGATAATCTTTTCATGCTCAACCTCGTTTAATAATTGTTTATATTATCAGCTTATTCTTAGTATAACTGGCACACCTTCCCAAAGCTTTATACAGCGTATGGGAGCTGAAAGAGTAAAGACTTACTTACATCACTTACCAAGTAAAGAAGCTGTTCCATTTGACAAAGTCTTTCCTGATGCTGATAAAGAAGCTGTTGACTTACTCAGTCAAATGCTATTGTTGGACCCAAAGGGTCGCATAACAGTTGAAGAGGCCTTAAAACATCCTTATGTAAAGGGGTATCATAATCTTGACGATGAGCCATCTTGCTACTCGGAATTGGATTTTGAGTTTGATAAGGTCTTGATGACTAAACAGGCTTTAAAGGATGCAATTGTTAAAGAAATTGAAGACTTTCAAAGGAAAAATTCATTGGTTTTGTCTCCTGTGGTGGTGTCTGTTAATACTGCAGCTCAGGGACAAACAACATCAATAGCAGATACTAAAGGTATGAACTAATACTGTAAATAGTAGGCTTAGGAATTGTAAATTAACTGGTGGACTATCAAGAATCCTGCTTCTTGTCCATGAAGTGCATTAATACCTCTTTAGCTTCATGTGTGTATTTTTTTCCAAATTTAGATGGGACCATGTGTCTTTCCCTAGAGTATCATTTCATTGTTTAATAGTTGAGAAGGAAAAGATGCATGAAGGTGGATACAACTCAAATAAAAAATGTAATTCTTAACAGAATTACACATGGTTTGAAACGGAAAAATATTATGCATAAGGTAAAGAGGTCTATTCCTGGACCATTTATTAAACATGATAGCTCATTAATGCAAACACATTAAGAATATTCCCCTTCGTTTTAAATAAAATGGAAATGCCTTATTTAGCATTCAATTTCCCCTAATCTAGACAGAAATTCATTATGATGATGAAATTCATCATTATTTGAGGTAACTGAACTTGGTACCTTCAAATGTCAAGAGAGAATCCAAAATTACCCTGAAGTTGCTGAAAGTGCCAACATTTTATCGGCATTTTAAAATCTTTGCCAAATTTAACACAGAGTAATATTGAACAATGAAAAGTTCACGTAAGTATTCAGGTAAAATATATAGTATATATAATTTTTTTTCTTTGACAAAAGCAAAGAACTTGGGCATAAAATCATGAAATTGCATAAACAAAAAACAGCTCTAAATCTGTACATTTATGTAGAAGTGAATATATAACTGTCTTGGTTAGCTTTCAAATTTGCATTTAATTTAATTTTTTTGAAATGCCTTCCTTTTTTCCTACAATCTCTAGGTGTATCAGCTGTAACTTTGGCTGCAATTCAGCAAAAAGGAGAACAAAACTTGAAGAGAAAACACGAAAAAGGGCAACATAAAGGAGGTAAAAGACCAAGACAAAAGAAAAACCAGTTAAAGGAGAACAACAGCCAAAGCGATGAAGGAACATCATCTGATTTAAGCGAATCTGATAAGAAACTTCTAGAAAGATGGGAAAATATGAGAAAGACAACAAAACCATTCATTCATCCTATAAGAAAGTACATGAATGAGCTGAAAGCTTTAAAAGATGAAATACTTGAAGATCAAGAAACCTGTGACCCCAAGACGGGACATAAAGATATCTCTAGTCTACCACAAGTAACACAACAATTCCAGTTTACTCAGTTTGTTCCCCAAGACTGTAATGGTAATATTCCGACTTTAAAAGCTGTCAAAATACCATATCAAGTAACCACTATGAACGTTTTGCAGGCTGTGGCAGATTCTAACATCAATGGTGAGTAGCATGTGTTTAAAAGCGTCCCTACTTACAATACTATATATCTACCAGATAACAATTTACACGTCATCTCGATATCTTTCCTGTAACTGACTTGTTGTATCAAGTGGGGGAAAAAAACAGTGTTTCCATTAATCAAGCTCCCTGGATTTCCCTTCCTTTTAGTTTACCATAAAAAAGTAGTGTTGATCGTCTTCAAATTACTATATAACTTTTAACTCATGAAATTCTTTCTTTGTGTTGTAGAGAATGGAAAAGAAAATACCGTTGATGCGCCAAATCCAGCCATCATATCATTGCCTCAAAATACTGCTTCTAGTGTGCATTCCCTCACTTCGCTACCTCAACTCCCGAGAAATATGCCTCAAGTTTCTTCTTCAAATCTTACTGGTCAGCTTATCTCACAAACTGTTCCGATTACATGTAGTTCTAAACAAGCAAATGTGAATAAAGCCTTGGGACAAACGTTCCCTACGAGAACTACTGCTGCAAGTTCCAAGCCACACCCAGTACTTGTAACCATAGCAACCAATGCTCAAACTAGTAGCGTTCCACAAAGCAGTGAATCTTCATCAAAGCACCAGCAGTTCGTTACTACTCGGCCCAATATTGTAACACAGTCACAGACATTCACTCCAGTGGTTGGTCAAGTTCCAAGCACGGTTATTCTCCCTCAGACTTTCAATATGGTCACTACGCCAGCCGTACAACCCAGTGGAACTCACACGGTGCCCTTTCAACTTGCGCCTTTGAATTTGGCGCCAAATCTCCAAGTCGTCAATTCTCAAGTTCCGCTGCTTCCAGCTACTTTGCCTAAACCAGGACATGTAGCGATTCAGCCTGGTTCTACAAGGGTGGGATTTCCCCTTCAACCACTCATTGTATCAAGCACGTCACAAGCTCCCTTAGCCACTCAAACTAAACAGAATTTGACATTACGAAAACCTCAAAGAATATCCAATATATTCCCTACTGGTGTACAAGGAATACCATTCCAAGCGGTTCCAGTCTCCAACTATCCATCTGTTTCTACGGTAACAGCTCCATCTCCAAGTCCAAGACCCAGATCAATGTCTTCCAGTCACGTAGAAGAAGAATACAATCAACACAAGAAATTATGTCGTACGTCATCATTGTCAAATTTAGCGCCATTGAATTCGAGTTCACAGCCTTGCAAACCTACACCGCCTGCTGTTTCTATAGCGACCAATACTGTAACCATAACAACGACGCATGTTTCTCAAACAAATAAAACCGCCGCAGCTATGACAACGCCGAGTGTTGTTTCCTCACAGGACGTCACTCAATCTAACGTTACAGAATCTCCATCTACTTTCATCTCAAGTTTATTCCCAGAGATATCTTACGAGGCTGTTGTTACACAGTCGTTATCAAACACTCCTGTTCCTCTAGCCACTTCGCAAGACACCACAACATCCATTCCTCTGGATAACTCATTTTCTTCGTCTAAAGACCCTGGTTTAGTAACAAATAGTGACATTTCCATTTTAAATACTGTTATTAACCAAATAGTTAAGCCAAATTCGAATACAGATGGCTCTAGAGCGGGTGTGGGGAGTATCAGTTTTCTAGATCCTGGAGCTGTGTCTCAAACCAACGTGAAAACTTCATCTACAGATGTTACTACAGTACCTTCTTCTGATGCTAATTCCCTTGGAAACGAACTCCTGAATAACACTCAAGGGATAGCTGTGTCTACCCTAGTATGTAATACAGGGGGTTTGGCGCAGGTTTCTTCTGTCCAATCGAAATTAAATTCCATGGCTTTATCAGGTTATAAAGATCCAAACCTCTGTGCATGCGCTGTCAGTCCATTACCAACTAACAGTTTAAATCAGACAAGTTCTTACGGACAATCGACTCTACTTAACCAAATAGCATCGCCACAATCCGTGTGTGGAATTCCCTCGGAAAGCCTTACCTTAGAACAACAGCAGTTTCTACAATTTCTTTCTACCCAGAGTAACACGATTGGCGACCAGTCTCCTAATCTACAAAGACTACTATCTGCCATTAGTGAATTGTCAGACAAAGGAGACGCCAGCCAAGTCGAAACTCTGGATGATGCCGACACACAAGGACAGAGCTTTGCAGAAGAGATTATCTATAGCACTGGTTTTACGGACAAGTCAGCGAGGGGGGCAGGAAGTGGGTATGGTCTTGGTATTGATATCGAGGAGTTGTTTGCTAATGCTGGTGGGGACTTCAACATGTAAGTAGTGAAAACTGCTGATGATGGATATGATAGAGAAGCTTTCGTACGACTGTGAAAATCTCGCGGCACGAACGCGGTCGTGACACAGCAAGGCATACAGCAGACCAATCACATTGCACGAGAATTTACTCTCCATCCAATCAAATGCCCGAAACACGGCACGAACACGGACACACCAGGGCCCGGTTTTACGAAGCCTGGATAGCGCTATCCAATGGATAAATATTATCCAGTGGTTAAATTTATTGGATAACAGCATCGACTTGTGCATTGGATAAGGATTTATCCACCGGACAGTGCTATCCAGGCTTCATACAACCGGGCCCAGGGTCATGTCACTGCCAAACCAATCCCATTGCGCGATAAAAAAATCAGCCATTCAAAATTCTTGAAAACATCACCCACGGCAAGACACGCATAAGGCACCAAGCTTTTCACAGTAATACAAAATCTGCTTTATAGAATGTTGATGTTACAATTAATAAAGTACCTCAAAATCTGACAGTAGCGAAAAGACAAATTAAGTAGATATTTCAGATTTTTTATGCACAATATTTTGAGCATGCGCACGAAACTTCCGGACCGCGATTTTCGGGCTAAAATATCCTCAGCTACATGTAGTCTCTTGTGCCTCGGACTAAGAGAAAAGAACGCTCAGGGGACGTGATTGGGCCTAACCTGATGAAAAACGTATCTTGCATGATCCAAAAATACGGATGTCGGGACAGCGTACCAGTGTCAACGAGGGTTTTTCGTGCTTGGGGATCCAATTAGGAATATTTACAATTCGTCGCAGAAAAAAAGGTGTTTTACTCGATTAGCTATGAATTCCAAGCGTTAGTGGTACTTTTTTTCACCGTGTAAGAAGGGGGTTATTTCACGAATGAAGATCTAGATTTCTTAGAATTCGAATCTTTCATTACTTCGTTTGACGTATGAGCTTTAACGTCAGGATTTTCAAAGAGTTAACCAGAATATTTCCTATTCTTTCTTTTCAGACTTAGTCCATCACCGCCAAACAACAATATGAACCCTCTAAACAGCCCTTGTCTGTCGGCCTCACTGCTCTCTGATTGGCTGGCTGGACAGGAAATGCCAGTTGACATCGAAGAAATACAGAAAGAACTCGAGTCCAACTCTGCCTTAGCTTTATTTCAAGACATGGATAGTTCTTGATTAGTTCTGGATTTCAGGAGGGAGGTAAAGGATTTATAGTCAGCCAGTCGTTGTGATTGGACAAAAAAGCATGAAAGAATGAGGAAGCTATTTAACTGTTACGTCACTGCACCGTTACGTCACTGCACCGTTACGAAGCGCCCACTTTATCACATTCTCATTAGAGATATCTCGGATAGAATAGTAACTTGAATGTCATTTGTAAATCTTATAATGAAACATTTTGTATCATTGTATCAAACAAAAAATTGTCGAGGTATTAGTAAATTTATATTGTAAAAAATTAGTTTAAACCAACATGTTTTCTACAAAAATTTATGCAAAATAATTTATATATAACATTTCTAGATTTTGTCTTTATTTCTTCTTTTTCTTTGATCGTTGTAATGGAGGTGGTAATGGTAGTTTGAATAGAGTCCTAAAAAAAGAAAATGGAAAAATGCTTGAACACTTCAGATACTGAAAGAGCACAAAAATCAAAATCTAAGAACTCAGTTTACATGGCAATTCATGACATTTAGAGGGAGGCGTAGGAGTAGCACACTCGCCTCTGGAGTCTCGAGTTTGATTCCCAGACTCAGCATCACAAATGAAAAGAATTTGTTAGGTATCTCCTTTGATTCAAGGGTTTTTCTCTAGTTTTTCTGCCCCCACAAAATGCAACACGCTATATCCCAATTCAATCTGCGAGTAAGCCGTGCCCTGACTTTCATCAGCCCTGAGGCTGTTTTGGGGTGTCAAAAACGTTTTGGCATACTTAGAAAAGTTTTTATTTCCATCTCTCAAATTCAGAATAAGCTGGCTTAGTAATTTTTTGATTGACAGAAGCCAAAACCCAGACAACTCTAAGTAATTGAGGTTGCAAAAAAATCATAAAAGGGTGGAGCCATGAGTATTCCCAAAGCATCGTCACCAAGGCTACAGTTGATTTACAATATACTTACTGGCATGTAATGCATCTTGGGATGAACTGACAATAAACTGGAAATAAAATTACAAAATAGAGTTTAGGTTAATTCAGAAGGTGACAAAGGTTAGAGTGCTCGTGGAAAACAAACTTTTTTAGGGATATTTAAGCCAAGACTTCGGTTCCCTTTTAGCAGAGCCTCCTGTAATAGTGTTCATATCTATTATACACTATACAATGTTCCTTGCAACTTGTTTCACGCTTGTGGCTATAATACACCCTTTAGCTTGGCTATAATGCTTTCATATTTCAGACCACATCATCCCTAGATTATAATTTCTTTGTTTAATGACACATGGTCTTACACTTGAGGCAAGAATTTCTATCCTTGGTAGAAGTAGAACTCAATTCAGTAATCACTTTCACAGTTCCCTGTGCCATCTTGAAAAGTGGCTGTGCCTTTGCATCGAAGTGAGGTGAACGGTGAGCTTGCAATGATAAAGCCCCTTTTTTAAAACCTTGAACAATTATTATTGACACATCTCTATCATTGCAAGCTCAACGTTCGTCTCGCTTTGATGCAAAGGCATGGCTACCTTTCAGGGTGGCACAGGGAGCTGTGAAGGGGACTATTGCAGATTGTCAGGCAAGTCTAATATGTTACACTATTATAAAAACCTCAGCAGCTCAATACTAACTTGATAGACAAACAGAACAAACATATCCAATGTCAACAAGCTTCCGATGACAGAAACAAGCTGCTCGATAATCAATGTGTTGTGAGGAGGGAAGGATAAGCATATCTCGGGTACCTTGTCCTGGTAAGTATAGCCACTAGAACAAGAAACAAAGACAAGTTATATAAAATCTCTTTATTTAAGTGTAGTTCTAGCACTTTTGCACTAACTGGGGACACTTTTCACTCACACACACACTAATACTACATTCAATGTTCTATACAAACAACGCACAACACGCGTTGATTTTTATGGAGGGAGGGAACCAGAAAACCCAGAGAAAACCCTCGTAGCATAGGAGAGAACAACACATCTAGCAAGCTCAATTCACATGTGGCGACCGCAGTACTCAAACCGGCAACCCAACCCTTTGGACTTATAGTGGTTAACACCTCTCTGTCATCCTCATCCTTAAAATCATGCAAAGCAGAAGAAGTCTTGATCACTTACCAATAAATGTTCTAATATTGACAAAGTGTTTTCTATTTTTAAATATACTCCTCCAGTTATGTCAGCTGCCTGCAACCAAAAAGAAGTGAAAGAATTTAACAGTTAATTAAACAAAAAATCTCTGGGAATTATCAATTTCACATAAAATACTTCTAAATTTTACAAGGCTCTGACCTGTTGAAGAAATCCTGAATTCTGATATAAAGCACAGGCATCGATTATGACATTCTGTACAAAATACAAGAAAAAGAACATTAAGGACTGATCATCATTAAAAGATGTGGTCACAAAATCCTACGAGGCAATGAGAAGTGAGAACAAGGGAATCGAGGGTAGTGAAGCAGTAGTACACTTTCCTCTCACCTCTGAGGTCCCAGGTTTGATTCCCAGACTCAGTATCACATGTGGGTAGAGATTGTTTGGTCTGTCCCTCAATTCGAGGGGCTTTCTCCAATTTTCCTTTCTGGAAAGACCTAATAAACTAACTCCCAAATCGATCTATGAGTGAACCATGTCTTGAATTTGATCAGCCCAGAGACTGTTTCAGGGTATGGATAAAATCGTAAGGTTTTTTGAAGATGGATGAGACTGGATGAGTAAAAGGTATGCTCCTTACGATCCTACATTCCTCACCTCAACCTAATTCTACCAACTTTTTACTTACGACTCACCACCACCTTTTCCAACCATTGACACCCTGCCGACCATGCTATTATCATGATAATAACTTTTGAGTAGCAACATGATGCCACTCCAACAACCCTACTGACATGTTTCTTATGTTATCTTACTTCTCTGCTATCTTTTTTGGGTGTTTTTACTCTTCATTCCTACCAACAATATCATCAACTAACAATCTATCCAGGCCCATGCCAACAGCCTATTGACACCACGTTCTTTCAAGCAAATATGGAGAAATGATAACATTACTTACACTTTTTTGAGCACCAAATATACAGTTCATAATTGTTAAGTACTGGGATGCATTATCTGGTGATGCCTTGACGACCTGGAACAAAATAATTTTGTTAATGAATAATTTTGGAGAGCACAGATGGTATAAACCACCAATGTGAACTGGGTTCTATCCCAGGCTTGGTGTCAAAGATTACAGTATTAGAGTTGTATCAAATTGAGCTGATCCTCACAGTATATGAAGCAACTTATGCAGCTGCAAATTGAAAGACTCGGGTAAAACAATTCTGAGTCTTGAACGGGATTAGAGTTATGATGTTATGATTATAGTTGTTTGTTGGTTCTCCCCTGTGCTTCAAAGGTTTTTTTCCCAGTGCTCCTTTTTTCCTCCCTCTGCATAAAGAATTAAATATGAGCCTATGGTTCAGGAAACTGAGGATGTAAATTTTAGATTTTAGCAAAATCATAGCTAGACAACCAAGCAAAATATTTTTCTTCAAATCAAAACCTAAGTGCATCAATATTATTTTTTAAATCTTGCTCACCATAATTCTTGGCTTTAACTTTAAACCAACTATGGAGTGAGAAAGTAAAAGTTATGAAACTAAAATTATTAGTTACAAAGATAAAAAGATAGCAAATAGTAAGTCAGTTTCGTGCATTAAAAGACCACTGCATTACAAATAATATTGTACCTGGACATTCCTTTTCCTTTCTGTGAATGTCTGATAGCTTTAGAGTTAAGGAATAAAGTCTGCCACGTTTTGTGATAAGATTCGTACCTATGACCTACCCACATCCTACCAACATACTGTAAACCAACACTGTAGTAACCTAACTGACAATCTACTGACACCAATTCGGGGGCTGCATATTTTTTTCTATTGCTGCATTTGAGATAATGAAGATAATAAAGCTTGCCATGGGAGTTATCTGAAATGCACTCCAACTGAAAAGGATACAGCAAAGAGCCATGCAAAGTGCACTTGGGAGAGCAGACGGAGGATTGCTATGAACAGGGTTTTCTTGTGCTAAAATAAAGGTAATTTAATACATCACTAAACAAGACTTTCAAAAAAGATTAGAATACCACACATTTGTTGAAAATAATTAACCTTCCTTGGATGAACATCAACAATGATCAAGAGTCAACTATTGTCAAACCTATGTATAGACTTGTTTATTTTGAAATTGTTACTTCTTATGGGAAGCATTGGCAAACTCATGAGGTTCAAGTTTGATTCCTGAGTTCAGTGTTGTATTCCAGTATAGTTGCTTGATGGTTCTCTCCTGTGCTTCAATGTTTTTTTTTTTGTAGTTCTCTGGTCTTTCTTCCTCATAGAAAAAGTTTACATTTTACGAAATGTTTTTACATTAAACTTCTCATTTTGCATACAAATTTCTTCAAGAGCCAGATGTATTAATAATAAGCATTTCCTGATTTCACTTGAGTGAGCATGAAACAATGGCTCTGAGTAGAAGTTGGACAAGATAAAATACAGTAATATTAATATATAAACACATCAAGTCCAACCTCAACTTGGAGTCATTGTTTCATGGTAACTTTGGTGATTGAAGGAAAGGTTAATTGTTAGACATCATCAAAGGTTTGCCATACCTGGTATTTCAGAATTACCAATCAATTCTTTTATTTCTGAAACAATTAAGTCATCCATTTGTACAAATTTTTCACATCTGCTATCTGAAGGAACACTTCTTGATTCTTCAATAGTGTGCATCTCTTGAAGGGATTCTTTTGGAAATAGGAATTTGCTACAACACAGATTAAGGAAGTATTACATTAACTTCATTTGATGATGACAATCATCTTCAACATCTTTTTCATAGTTGGTGAACAAGTTCAGAATAAATGCTTGTTTGTGCACTTTCACTTACGTGTAAACCAGGAAGAGACTTTCCTTTATACCGACCTGGAGTACGAGGAAAACCCCTTGGTGTGGTATAAGCAAGGAGTACAAGAGCACGTTTTATCGGAATATATTCTTCTCCCTTAATTCTTGGTTTGCAATCAATCCCAAGAGAGCACAATAACAAAAGGGATGTCCGCCATGTTGGAAGATATAACAAAAGAATTCACTGAAAAATCTTTTGTCAAATTCTTCCAACATGGCCGGCTATGACGTCTATTGCAAACGAAGAATTAATTAAAGGGTAAAACATACCTTTGTCTAGTATTTGATGCAATAAATGCCAGTGTATTCGACTGCTTCATCATTAAGTGAGCATTGCACATTACAATCATGCTATCCACACAACTAGTCAGTGTTATCTAGGGAAGGAAAAATTATTAATCCTAATGAGATTTTGTAAAAAATACATAAAGCCTTTAATAGAATAGAAAAATTATGGACCTGTTCTTGACTTTTTTCGGCAAAAACTCTTCCCCACCAGACAGGATTGGCATCAAAAATAACCACAAGTAGATCCAAGCTGTTATCTTAAAAACAAAAAGAGAAACAGAGACTAAGACATCGAATATACGAGCCATCCTAATGTCGAAAGACGGAAAGCACAAAATGCTCATACCGTCCGCCATCTTGTTTTACTCTTTTAACAGGAAACCCATAACTATATTTTTGGGAATCCTGTGCTTTATTTTTTTACCGGAAGTCAGTTAGTCTGACCGGAAGTTTTCCATATTCATGAACTTTGAACCTGATTGCCCAGATGATCACGTGAAAATCTAACCAAACAGCCAATGGGAGTCAAGAAAAGACTGTCAATCACGCGTATGAAATTTTACAACTCGAGTGCAAATTTACACATATTTGTTTACAACTTGATTCATTCATTCACTAATCTGTAAATACCTTGATCTAACGCATCTAAAAAGCTTGAAAGCACTTGAAATCCTTGATTAAGCTACAAACATGAGTACGAGAGCAAGACATGGGCAATCGAAACCATACGATACCAGAAAAAAGCAAGAAGCAGCTGATTCATTTACGATCCTCGGTACACCTGGCCACCCGAGCCGGGCGATAAAAATAACGAAAAATGCCTCCCAAGGAAAGATCGCTGCAAAACTACACCCTTCCTTTGACTGTAGTGGAATGCATACCAACTCGACAGACTCCCAGTCACATCAGTTCGTCGAGGAATTGCTGCAGCAAAAAATTTTAATTCAAGAAGCGGTGCGACGACTTTTGGAAACACAAAAACGGGGCAGCTTCAATTTGAGAAGGAAAAGCTCTTCCCGGCTTTTAAAATGATGTTAGACCCATCTGATTATTTCATTTCACTACAAAATAACATTACCAAATGCTTTAAATGAAGATCATCAAGTCTTAAATGGAGAACTCTTTAGAGACGCTGTTCAAGTATTTCTATGGAGTATGGTATTTCCCGCCAAGAGGACTGAGATCATGACCTTGTGTTACTACGGGAAAGCCTGCGTCCGTCTGTATTACCACAGAAAAGCTGGATCAGAGACAATCGATACAAATTTTGTTCAATAATGAAACCACGAAGTCGGCTTTCATTCAAAAATATACTCATTATCATTGGCTTTCATTCAAGGCGCCAGCTTGCGCCGGCCAAAGGACAGTGAAAACTCCCCCACTGTAAAAATTAAGTAAATGAAATAAATTAAGCTTATGAAAGAGATTCCAAAAACAAAACAAAAAAGTAAAAAGTTTCTCTTTAAAATCTTTGTTGTTCGAGATAAAGTTTGGCAATAAATTGGATAATCTCGCGTTTTATCTTTTGAGTAATTTTATCTAATAAGACGTTCACTAGCTGATTTGAACAGGTTTTTAACGTTGTAAATATTGTAATATATCTTCTTAATGCATCGATCTTTTTTAAGAAATAAAGAAATTGTATATTTAATATTGCAAAGTTAAAATGAAATCGTAAAGTTCTGCAGGGAAAAAACGTTTTTTGCGTTTCAATTTGTAAGGTCGACAGGTCGACATGGGCTGGGAGTCTTCCTCAAAGTTCTCAAAGGAAGTGTTTATTCTCTCAGCATGATACTTGAAAATCTACTTAACCTACCGGCCCTATGCTCGTTTCTCTGTACAAGGGTTCCTTCGTACAAAAACAAAAGAAATCTAAACAAACTTAAGTATTTATCATTATTTCCAACGCATTTTTCACGTTTGATTTAGCGTGACGAATTTTAACTCACGTCACGTACCGAAGCGAGGCAAATTCAAAACAAAACGGGAAGCCATGTTCACTGTAACCTCTCTCCATGGACACCACTTTTACCATGAAAAATTATGACCACAGAAAGCTCTTTAGATAATGAAACCTGGTCCACCGTAACAGAACAGACCATTCTTCTACAAGATGGTCTTAAATTTGTCGCAGATTTGGTCAGTGCGCCGGAATTTGACTCAAATAGTTTGTCAACGTTTGTCGACTGTGAGTTCCGGTTCGAAAGTTCTTGGATAGCAAAGTTAGCTCAGCGTTTGCAAGCTGTATTATGCATGCAGAGCAGTCCATATCAATTATATTTTGACTTTAGACAACGTACTATACTAAGTTTGTGGCTTTCTCAGAGAAAACGCTTGAAAACTTGCAAAAAGGGTGATGTAAATGGAGACATTTCAAAAACTGCTGTCGAGAAACGAAAACCGGTTTCGTTTTCTTCACACGTTAGTTTACTTCTACTGCTACCTCTTCTGGAATCCCAGAGTAAAATAGATCCTTCTCTGCCTATCAGCTGCACAGAGCTGCTATTGCATTGCCTCAGGGAATATAGTCCTTATTCACTTAGTTCAGAACCTAGAAGTTGTTTAGATGGTTTAGAGAGACTGCTGTGCTCATGGTTAGATATTGAGGCTTCAAAACAAACTCAGTCAGCGGAAGTTTATGTCAGTACGTCAAGAAGGGAAGATATTGTTGCAGCATTGATTGCTCTAGCATGTGGAAGGTAATTATAAATATTATATTTTTTCATAAACTTTAAGTTATAATGCAAAGACGTGTGTGTGTGTAGAGAGAGAGAGAGAGAGAGAAGGGGGGGGGGNGGGGGGGGGGAGGGTGGGTACTGTCTTTTTCATAAATAAACAGAAAGGTGTCCCCAACCAAGATGTGATGGCTGGGTTGTTAATTATTTGGAGTCAGATTACTACTGGGATGACACTTGTTACATGGCTTAAAATAACGGCAGGACATCAGACAATATTCAGGCAGAACTGGGACTTGTCCGGTCAAATCTTTGCCTTGCCAGTTATTTTGACTAGTAACTTTAAACAGAAATAAGGTATGACTAAGCTAAAACTATTTTGGCCTGTGATCATGACCAGCGACTGATCTGCCTTTATTTTAAGCCCTCTTGTTAGCTTTAGTTCATGGGTTAGAGGTCATTGTAGAGGTCTATATTGCTTTGTTTTCTTGGTCATGATGAAAAATGTTGAGCAGTACCTCACTCCACCTAGGTGTATGTGTGGATATCCACAATTTATTGACAAATTTCTGGAAAGATAATTGGAGGTGTAGGGGAAGGGGAGACAAACCTAGTTGGACTAGTATCCCATACAGGGGTTACTCATACTGCTAGCCACATTTATAATATCAAAAAAATGCAGTTACCAGCAAGGATGGCTTTATTCTAACCCCTTCATTGTCTTTCCTTGTCATCAATGACATATCTAATTTGATGATAAGATACTGGACAGCACTGCTAGGGGGAATGGCAGTCATAGATTCTCAAGTATTGGTGCATTATTCACCAATCAAATTTTGAGGCCAAAAGTGTTCACGAAACCTCCCATTATCTTTACTCTAAGTGATTTTATTGGTGTGTTTCAGGTTATCATTGAAAAGCTTGATCCAAGTTCTATTGATATTACAGAAACACAGGACTTCCTTACACAATATTTCAACACATGAAGTACTACAAAGAACCCTGACCTATACAAGAACAGGCAAACACACACCGCCTACACTATTAAAAACATCAAATTTTGTTTCACGGTGGCATTGTAAACCATTCCCTGACTCATCTTCTAATGTACAAAATGATGAAAAGTGTACAAGTATTGCTTGTGATGGCAAGTTTTTATACGTGACATGTTCTGGTGGGAAAGGTTTGGCTAAGATTGGTACAGGAAGAATGGGTTCTTTCAGGTACTGTTACATAACAAATTAATATGTTTATTTGGGTTACTGGTAATGATTATCATTATCATCATCATCTTCTTCATCATCATCATCATCATCATGCATTATCATCACTGCACCACATCATCACCATCACCATCAAAATTATCATCATCTTCATCATCATCATCATCTTCATGCATTAACATCACATGCACCACATCATCACCATCACCATCAAAATTATCATCATCATCATTATCATGTATGATCATCATCATCATCTTCAAGCATTATCATCACATTCACCACATCATCACCATCAAAATTATCATTATCATCATTATCATGCTTTATCATGGTCATCATCATCAATATCATCACCATCATCATCTCTTCATAATCATTGTCATCATCATTATCATTTATTTAAAACTGATAATACAAATTCAGTACAATTAGATATCGCTGCCTTCAATTTCTACCCACTGAGGACTGAATTAAAACTTGGGTCTATTAATTGTAATTATATTTCACATAAGGCTTTTTGGCTGGATGCTCAAAAAAATCCTAGGGAAAAAGATTCCAAAGAAATATAGCAATGATAACCCCTTTGATTTTTTTAGGGACAACTTGCCGTAAGAGAGGTATCTAGTATGATGGGTTTAATCAGGGAGTCAGAAAAAAAAGTTCCCCTCAGCCCTTAATTTGCTTTTATTATTTTTTTATTGAACGTATTGGGAAAATGTCCAAAGGGAGTGGCTTAATTCAGAATCTTCTTTGTTTGATTTCAGAGGATTATTATACAATATTAATTTATCTATTGCTGCTGGATGGGTGGTTTGGAATCATGGCTTTCTCATATTCAGACCTGCAGTATTTGATACAAATAGGAAAGTTTTTTGCTTTATGCTGGACCCATCTACATTAAAGGTTTGTTAGAGTTATAACATTAATGAACATACATAAAATCAAGCCAATTCCCATTAATAAAACCCACACCCTCAAGCCTTGTTTGACTTTTGTAATTGAAGCCATTTCAAGTTAATACTTGATATTTTTAGCAGTTATGTTGACATGCTATGGTATTGCACCTTTTTTCATTTTTCTGTGTGATTTTGCGCTATTCAGACTTTCCTTTGAAGAGCAGGCATAGCTCAGTTGGTTATTTATCAGCCTTGAGAGCTGGAGGTTCATGATTCAATCCTCAGGTTCTCTATAATAGTTTCAATTTCTCTCTAATCCATGTAACTTTAGCTTTGACTGCTCTCAAAAACAGCACTGGTGGAGAGAGAGGTGTAAAGTGTGCACCGTCGGCTTCCATTGATAGCAGTTGGATTTTAACTGACATTAAATGTACTAGGTGCTTTACTTTTACTTTATGCTTCCCTCCTTACTGGCCCATCCTCAAAATCCATCCCACTCCCCCCCTGTACCCCTTCCCACCCATTAATGCTCCAGTTTCAAGTTCCCTGTTGCTCAGGGTAAGCATCAATTTTGCATTGAACATTCACCTATTCTGATTCCAGTCGAGGTCCATGGAATATTTAAGTCTGTGTATTGTTGAATTTGTGCACTCTTTTCTTTACCATTGGTTTTGTAAATATTTTGAAGCTGAAATTAGGCTAAATTTAAGTAGATAAATCTCTACAAGTTTAAGAAGGGAAAATAATTATTTAAAACTCCTTAACGTGTGTTGATTTTGTCATCAGATAAAGTGCAATGTTGAATTCAAGGATTCTCTTGCAATAACGAACCAGGATCAAGTTTGTCAGGTCTCAACTGTGCAGCTGACTAGTGATGGTGTTCATCTGTACTGGATATTCACCCTGTCAAGCATGCCGACCGACCAACCACAGGAACCCCAACAAGATCAGTCTGCATATGATCTGTGTATCTGGGGATTCAGACTAGAGGTACGATTAAAGCATGAAGTTATTTGATAATCTTAAATAAATGCCTACAGTATTATGTGTTACTAATATTATACGACTAGCTGAGTGAGAATTCCTGCAATATGATTGGTGGAAAAGAATTTATCATCGTGGGCATCATCATCAGAATCTTCGTCATGATCAACATCAACATCATAATCACCAGAAGCAGCATCATTAGCTTCAGCATCATCAGCATTCATTATCCTTATAATCAACATCAACATTATCATCATTATCTGCATCATCAGCATCATTGTCATCATCATCAGTATTATCATTATAACCATTAGCATTGTCATTGTCATCAGCATAATCAGCAGTATTATCATCATTATCATTATCATCAGCATTGTTATTTTTATAAGATTTCTCATATCTCATGTTCAAAATATCTAGGAAATAGAAGATGAAAAAACCATGTCACAAAAAATAGTAGCTGTGCCCCTCACACCACACCACATGACTATAGATCTTGGAAGAGTGGATGAAAATGATGCTGCTGGACTAAAGCAAGCTGCTCAAACCCCCATGAATGTACAGTTCAGTAAGTACGGTAAACTGACTGCTTGCATAGTGTTTTACTTGTCATTTTTGAGAATCAAGGGTGACATATAACACCTGCCTCTCACCTCTCACCTAGGATTTGCCACTCATGTGAGTACCCTAAATGCTCGTGTAATGCCTAACAAGCTAAATTACAATTAAATCTGTGAGTTAGCTGTGCCTTGACTTTCATCAGCCTGGACCAAACAAAAAAATAAGTGTGTTTCCTGTTGCATGAGATAAATAATTGGGGTCAGTGGGTCGGGGTTTTTTTTACTGATACAACAGTGAAAATGTTCTTACTGGGAACCCTGTGGTGCATTTGGGAATGATTAAAATATTGGGGTCAGCAAAAATCGGCAAGAAAATTAGGGTTGGTTGCACAACAGGAAACACACTTATTTTTTTGTTTGGCCCTAGGGGTTGTTTCAAGGTTTATACTATTTAAAATTATTTACTTTATACAGAAATGAGCAATCTTGGACTAGCAAGAAATAATCTGAGCAAGATACCAATGTTTGTAGCAAGTGATATGCTAGTTTTAGTCTTACCACACTACTCTTTGACAAATAATAAAGGACACCTGGTGCTGAGAGCTAAGAGAAGTAAGTAACTAAAGTGATTATCAGGGACCATAGAACATAGGGGGCTAATCTGGGGGGTCAGGGGCAATGCCCCTACCCCCTGAAAAAGATTCAGGCTCATGGGGATGCCATTTCTAGTGCTGCTGTTTTGAGGGGCAATCACAACATATTTATTGTTGTATCAACATTTTTAAAACAAGGGAAGGAGGTCAAGGGAAAAAGTGCCCACCACGCCCCATTCCTCTGCAATGGCTGGTCAAACTTCTCCTCTGCTGCGATATGACTCATACACCTTACAGTAAGTTTCTCTAATATTTATGACTAGATCCAATCAACTGCTGCTTTTCATTGGTTGATGACCATTGTATCATAAGAGAGAGTTTGATTGACACTGACAATAGTGTAGATTCTTGGCAGGACTTTGGAATAACAAGACTTGGTATGTAATAATAGACCCTTTTGGCTTGTGCACAATGTTTTCCTATTTCAGGCAATGTTTCACATTTCCACATCAGAAGACACATGAATATGAATACAACTCGAACAAAGAATCTTATTCTCAAGAGAATGGCATATGATCTGAAATGGGAAAAAATTTCACCCAAACTACATTATTGAAAGAGGTCTGTTGCAGGATAATTTATTATTGTCATATTTGTTCCTTCTGTTCCAAAACATTTGATCCTCTTGTCCTCATTGGCTATGGGACAGCAACCATTTTTTCTATTCCCTCTTTTTCTGAGGGTCAATTCATCAAATCTATTACTGGCTTTCAATTATTCCCAAGAGAATAAAAGAACAAAAGACAAAAGGGTTTTGTTGAATTCATCCAACATTGTGGCTGTGAAAACCATCAATATCTTCCATGCAATGTAAATAAATAAAAAATTTTTTGTTAAATCTGTTTTTTAGTGAAACCAAATTGATACCTATTTTTTTGGTCATCAGGTGTTTGCATTGACCCCATGGATGGAGCTATCTGGACGTATGGTGATGGCCATGTCTGTGAGTGGACTAACACTGGCTATCCTAGTATGAACCAAGTGAAAGATCAACTAGCAATAACCAATGACCCCTTTGGTAAGTAATGTTCACAACAAGTTCAGCTGTGTTGTATCGGCATAAGCAATCACAAGCTAGAAACGACTCGTGAAAATTCGTAAATGATTCACAAATCCTTTGGGACATTTCGAATTCAAATATTGATTAGGTACAACCACTAGTGCTCTATCAGAACAGTATACATACATTAGTGGTTGGATCTAATGAGCATTTTCATCGTAAAGTTTGTATGGGGTTTACTGTACAGGATATTTTCATGGGGTAGGGGGGGGGGGGAGGAAAACCTTGGGGGGCGACAGAGAAGGGGAAGCTAAAATGATGAATTAGAAAACCACAAAGCATAAGGGAACAGGCATTTCACCCTTGTTGACAGCGAAGAAAACAAATCAATAAGCGCTAGATTACGAACCCCTGTTTGAATCCATCTATCCTGTCACTTCCAGGTCCATTAGAGGGTGATCAAATGGATGTCAATAACGTGATATCCTCCATAGCCATCAAAATAACCATACTCTCCAGAAGTCTAGAGGCCCAGCTCAGCGCACTTCGCCCAGTGAATCCTGACACGTTCACAGAGGCATTACTTGATTCCAACTATCTTACCTTGATCTACGAGGCTCTACACCTTGGGATAGTCAGTAAAAACCACACCATCATCTTGACCGTGTTACATGCCCTTCAACCGCTGCTACAACTGGCTGTAACAAGGCGCATTAAGCTGGAAAACCAATTGGTCAAGGACCTGAGATCCCTAGTGTGGATGTTGGTGTGCACTTCTACTGAGAGTTACAGCCGGCAGATTCACAGACAAGCCTGTCGAGTGTTTGTACGTGGATTAAGCGTGTTTTACCGCGGATCTAAAGAACAAAGCGCGCTACTCATGGTGTTACTCTCCGATACAGATTCGAAATCCAATGGTATCTTCTTGATGAGAGAAATGCTCCTGAGAGATATGGCTGCAAAACTGGTGAACACCGAGAAATATGTAGACTTTCCCAACAGGTAAGAACATCAGCTTACAGTCACGGCTTATCAATAGCACGTGCGGAATCGTCGCTGAGACGAAGTAGGTTTTGGTAGACGTCAATCAAGGTGTTTCCATGACGTTCCATAGCCCGTGACGACGATTCTGCGATTCCAGTTTGCTGACAATGCGAATTGCTGAAAGCGTCGCTCAATGCTAAACAACATTATAACGTTTCAAAAGCTGATTTTACTTTTACGTTTCGCGCAACGGTTGCTTCGCGTGTCCAAGGCCTTACCACGTTACAAGAATCAACTTTGATAAATGACTCATATCTTACCAGGTTGGCATATGATGTGGAATGTAAGCTGATCAAGGCTTGCGTCATGGTATCAACCACAGATATTCTGCAATGTGTAAATCTTGCTGAGGATGATTTGGCCAAATTTCTAGCAGCACAGCCTGTAAGTAGCATGAATCATACAAAAATGTAAAAACCCCTGGCACTAAATCCCTACCTCGGTGACAAAACCAAGAAAAACATAACATCAAAAAAAGTTTCCTTCACATTGGACATTGGATTCAAGAGCTTGGAACTAATAATTTCCAGCAGAACGCGTGTTTTCCCTTGAGTATTATAATTTTATCAACATATTTGTGCTTGAGAAGATATGGCAGTATGGATCAAAGAAACTTATTCTCAAGGGAATGACACGTGGTCTGAAATAGAAAAACCTTACGCTCAAGCTAAAGAAGTCTTACTGTTGGATCCGCTACTGACCCCATACACCTTCATCTCTCAATACCTTACGTTCACTTATTTTGATAGGATGTCTCGGCCTCATTACAGTACATAACTACACTGGTTACCAAGACATGGAAGGAGTTGATGCTGTCTGAGGACTGCACCATGGAGAGTTCTCTTGTAGAGGTAACTAGAATGATCCATGCTTCACTTCTACTGACCCCATACTCTTTGGTGTTTCCTAGGGAAAGAACAAGGGAACACCAACATTATAGTACCAGGGGTATTTGATACAACAAGGCCTTGGCTATAAGCAACGTATCCGTGGGGTGTTCCCTGGAAAAAGAACAAAACAAAGCAACAGTTTTATATAGTACCAGACGTACCACATGTATTGCTGGCTTTCACTTGACGTCATTTCCTGTCTTGTGTGGAATGTTCATCAGCTCAGTCACAAGTTTTCAATACATTTGTCAATAGAATTCTTTCTAGCTGACCGCACATGGTGGTCAGTGTTTGGCCACCATTTGTAGCAGATAATAAGATTCAAAGGCCCCGTCCACACGTATCCGCAAATTTTTGTATCCGCAATTCTTTTTTTTAAGGATACGGGTTGCGTCCACACGTGTCCGCAAATTTTTGTGTCCGTATTCTCAAATTTTACGAAAACGGATACGTGTGGACGGTGAAAACGATTCGAATACGCTGCTTGTGGACGCAAACATTTTCGTATCCGCAAAAAATAATTTGCTGATACAAAAATTTCCGGATACGTGTGGACGGGGCCAAAGACTTTTATCAGCTGATTGAAACCCTGCAAAAGCCGCACCTCCTTGATGGCTTTATCTTTGTGTCTCTTGTATTTATTATCAAAATATAATAAAGGATTTCAATAAAGGAATGTGGTGGGATATTCCAAGAGCTCTTTTGTAAAAGGAATAATTTATTGATCTAATTTTGATGTCAGATGTCAGAGTTTGTAACGAAGAATGTAGAGTCGATCATGTTGGCTAGCAAGATATTAGAGGCGTCTCAAGAGGTAATTGTTTGTATTATTCATTGACTATAGCGTCGATATGAAATGACCATAATTGGGTATAGTCGAGGGAAATACTTACGGTACGCTACCCATGAATGAACGAGTAAACGAGTGAAGGGAGGGAGGAAGGAAGGAAGGAGGGAGGGAGGGAGGGAGGGAGGGAGGGAGGGTAGGTAGGAGAGAGGGACGGACGAAAGAAAGAAAGAAAGAAGAAGAAGAAGAAGAAGAAGAAGGAAAAAAAAACAAACAAAACAAAACAGATAAGTGGACGGAAACTTACTCTCCCGTGTCTCTCAATTGGCTATCTTTCTAAACTGAAGTAAGAACGCACACATTTCGGTTTTTAGGTATGAGAGGCCATATTGCACCTCACACTGCCTGCTAATAAAGCACTTCTCTGATCGAGGAAACCCTTTTGTGGTATCTATTACATTTTTAAATATTTATTCTAGCTTCTTGAAGTTGTGCTAGAAGCGCTACAAAAGCTACAAAACAACAGCCAAGAGGTTGTCTGGTCTAGATTGGATGGTCTAGAGAAGGTCATCAAGGCAACGCCTGTTGGACAACTGCTTCTGTTTATGGTGACAATCATGGCAAATCAGAAGTTCTGTAGTCTTCCATTGGCTAAGAGTTTACTATCTAGGGTGACATCTACTACTATTACAGCTACTAAAGTACGTGTGGGACTACCCAATACCTTTGACTGTCAATTTAGGTCTCCTCAAAATCTCAAGATACATGATGTTGTTGATGATGGTGTTGATGATATTGATGGTGAAGTTTATGTATGATGATGGTGAAAATAAAGATGACGGCCGTGTTCATGGGGGGGGGGGGGGGGGGGGGGGGGGGGGGGGGGGTTGGTGGTGGTAATGATGATGATGGTGTTGATGATGATGATTGTGGTAATAGCAATAACGATGATACGACGGTATAATGATGGTCATTATAAAAATGATGATAATCCTTGTTCCAAGCTGTATCATAACTTTCCCATCTGTATTTTCCAGGCTGCGAACCTCTTCCATCACATGCGGGCTGCAGCGAACTCTAAGTCTGATGATTCTGTTCTGATGCCAACTCTACAGTCCTCGTTACCACAGCTCACCCCCTGGACACATTCCTGTATCGTAGAGAGCATCCATCCAATACGCGATGATTATAGGTACTCCAAGACTGTGACATTCAAAGGTGCTAAGTGCCTTTACCTCAAGTTTGATCCCAGATGTGCTACACAGTATGAATACGACAAGGTAGGAGTGAACATTTTACAAATCACTAAGCTATAAAAAGTGGTTTAAGGCAGAGAATTTTGATCATTTACCGGAGCATTCTCCGATCCTCGACCCCTAATGAAACCCTTGCAGCAAATAGACTCTTTTTATGTTGACCCCTATTGAAACCCTTGCAGCAAATGGACTCTTTTTATGTTGACCCCTATTGAAACCCCTGCAGCAAATGGACTCCTTATATGTTGATTGCCCATATGTTTAATGCTAGTCCCATTATTTATGTTGTGCACGTAATAAAGTTCATATAGTGTGCATTCAATATAGGTATCAAAATGAGCTTTATAATCACCATCAGCGGTGGACTAGAGAGCTACACATCAAGGCATCATTGGTAGTCACAACAGCTTACAAAAAAGCATGATTTGATAATTGAATCGCATGATTTAATTCATGCACAACTGAGTGCGATGATCTTGCATGCTCAACCGCATAGCTTACAAACATGCATGATTTGATAATTCATGCACTAGTGCGATGTACCTTGCATACTGCATACCTCGAGTCTGTTCAATGATAATATGCATCTTGTGTTACTCATCTAGGTCATGGTGTATGCTGGTCCTAATACTACGGCAGCTAAAGTAGGCGAGTTTGGTGGGAATGTGTATGGATATGGCAGCAAGGGTGTAATTCGTTTGGGGTGGCCAAAAGACTTCATTACGGTAAGGGTTTTTTTCTTGCTTTTATTTGCTTATTGTTATCGTTATGATGATGATGATGATGATGTGGTGGTGGTGTTGATGATGATGATGGTGTTGACGATAATGATGATGGTGGTGTTGTTGATCTTGATGATGATGATGATGGTGGTGGTGGTGGTGGTGATGATGATGATGTAATCATGATCCATAAAATGTCCTATCCCCCAGGTTGATGGAGACAGCGTGACATTTGTATTCCAAGTAAAGAGTACCCGCGAACGAACCACACCTGACAAAGCAGTTTGGGGATTTGCTTGTTCTGTGAGCCTCAAGGTATTAGTGCTGACATGAACAACGTGGGATTGGGTTTGGTGCTGGCAGCATGCTACTCTTTCCTTGCTTCCTTCCGTCCGTCCTTGCTTCCTTCCGTCCGTCCTTGCTTCCTTGCTTCCTTGCTTCCTTGCTTCCTTGCTTTCTTGCTTCCTTGCTTCCTTGCTTCCTTGCTTTCTTGCTTCCTTGCCTCTTGCTTGCTTGCTTGCTTGCTTCTTGCTTGCTTCCTTCTTTGCTTCCTTGCTTCCTTGCTTTCTTGCTTCCTTGCCTCTTGCTTGCTTGCTTGCTTGCTTCTTGCTTGCTTCCTTCTTTGCTTCCTTTTTGCTACCTTCTTTCCTTCCTTCCTCCCTCCCTTCCTCCCTTTCTTTTTTCTTTCCATTCTAATAAATTTATCGGTTTACAGAAAGGACACAATAAAGACGAAGATGTCGCTCTTCCAGTGTTGACAGACGTTGCTCTAGGCTTGTCTCATCTCAATTATAAACTCTTAAGTGTGTTATACGATGGTCCAGCCACTATCAGTGAAGAAGAGGCCTGCAGTCATTTACTCAACTCACAACTTTTACAAAGGTAAGGACATTTTACAAAAGTCTACGGCCATTCCAAAAATTGCTTGCATAGTGAATAACAGCACAGTTTTCGTAAAATTGTGGAAAATTCATGGTTATGACGTATTCTGTCTTTGACAACGCCGAGCGTTTCTATTGGACTAGCAGTAATATCACGCTCCGCTATTGGTTCAAAGGATGTCGTTAATTTCTTACCGTGACTGTGCCACGTGCCCGCATGAACCTTCACAGTCACACCACATCCACTCAAACGAGAAGAGGCCCTACCAACCTATTGCAGCCAACACGTCTGTCGTGCCATCAATACGTATTTTTTGAGCTTTAACATGGCAATAAGGAGATTGACTAGAGTTCATTTTGATATCCTTTTTGTCGTTAATTAAAGGTGTATTTGGGAGGAAAGCGAAGGAATGTCCTTACAAGAATCACAAGCAAATGGAATCAAAATAACCATCACTCAAGACCAAGATCAGCCCCCTACGACCACACCCAAGGTCCTACCACGACAGCCTCTCTCCACAGAACTCACCAAGAGGATTCGGAACGCTTCAGGGATACTTGCACCTACCCTACGGCCAAGTATACGACATGCCCTAGAACCAGAAGCTATCGAGGAAGTTGTTCTAAGTGCTGTTATACGACATCTGAATCTTTACGATAAGGTGCATGGTCTAGAGCTTCTACAGGTAGCTAATGCTGATAGTACTGAGTATGTTAAGCTTTGTGAAGTCATGAGGGAAGTGTTCAGGAGGATCGATGGTATTTTGCGACAGCTACAGGCGATGGCGGAAGTGGAACTTCGGTGGTCGCAGGAAATAGAAGACTTGAGGCAAGGATTGTTGCAGCCTAGTGCGGCATTCTTTAACGAGTACCATTTACAAGAGGTAAGTATCACAAAAAAGCTTCGTGGTAAATTAGATGTCTCTGGTGATGCCTCTGGAAATGCGCGCGCCTCTTATAAGCCTCGGTGTAATAAAATGGTTTCCCATTTATTAATAATGGGATTATCAGTGGATTCCACAGAGTGTCTCTTCTTCCACTAGATTCCAATTGGAATTTAGAAGTTGATTTTTGCGGAGGGTGGAAAGGCAGAGAACCCGGAAAACCCTTGAAGCACAGGAGAAAACCAACAAACAACTCTACTCACATACGACACCGAGCTCAGCGGGACTTGAACCCGGGTCGCATTGGAGAGGCGAGCGCTCTCACCGCTACGCCACCTGTGCTTCCCATTTCAAACCATGTGTCACTCTCTTGAGAATAAGACTATTCTCATACGCGCAACATCTAAACAAAGAAATGATTCTCAAGATAATGATACGTGGTCTAAAATGGGAAAACATGACACCCAAGGGGTGTGTCGATGTTAATGTGTTTCAGGTGAAGTCCAAGGATCTAGAGTTGCTTTGTAGTTTAAAGGGAATCGTATTCGACCCCATGGAACAAGAACGAGTTGTTGGCAAGCTTATGTAAGTCTTATGAATTGACATTATTAAGATAATGTATTTATCCCTTGTCGCCTTATTACATTCCTTGTCTCTTATTTCCTTCCTTTCTTTTATTCGTTTTCTTTTTTTCCGTTGTCTTTCTCCCTCATTGCTCTTCACTCCCACCCATCTTAAATTTCTAAATAAAAGTAATCTTGTGTTTTATTGTGTTTGCTTTTCTAAGGAATAAACGAAATAAAAGGAGGTGCATCTTTTACCCAAATATAACTTCTGCTATTTTTTTAACTAAATGTCAATTTTTATTTACAGACAGCTGTTAGAAAATGAAGCAAAAAGTCGCACAAATGATGACTCGGAAGATTTATTAGAACGAATGCCGAAGACTAGAGCCTTGAGGCACTCCATCATAGAGTGCGGGGAACTTCTGTGTAGCGTCACGATACAAAGTCCTTTGAAGAAGAGAGGCCCTCCAGGCAGAAGCGTCTCACATGGCACCTTTGTTCCTAGGGCTCAAGGTGGGCCACTTCTCATCATTATGTTACGTGTTATACACGGGATCGAAAAAAGGCGACCTATTAGAATAACTATTGTTCTGCACTGACTAGCGACTGACTAGCCTCGTGTTCACGTGGAAACAAAAGTGTTTTCACATGTATGCGAGGCTAGACAGTCGCTCGTCAGTCCAGAACAATAGTTATTCAAATTGGTCGCTATAATTCGATTCAGTGGATAAACGATGCGCTTTGATCAGTTCGGCTGTAGACACAAGTCACATTCTATTGCGTTGATCAATTTGTTTCAAATTTTTACAATATGAGCGATTGCTTTCGGACAACCGATGCATGTGAAAGTAGAAAGGTATTTTTTGGAGCATGCATTACTGAGTGTTTTAGGAACAAGTGTGGTTTAGTTGCTCGATGACCAGTTAGTGCCGGGGACGGACGGATTAAATCAGTATTTACTGCTACGTTTTTTTGGAGTTTGTGTTCAAAATGATAGACAGATGTCCTATATTTGAAAGTTCATAACTAGCATGGACATGGTTTATAGCCAAATCAAGATCTTTTAAAGAAACGTTATACAAATTTTAAACAAATTCCAGCAACAAAAAATTAATTTACGCAAATTTTCTTTGCATAAAAATAACCTTTTTTGTCATGTATTTTGATCTCGTTCCTTTTTTTTTGCATATAATGGCTGATAAAAGATTTTCTTTCTTAGATTATGAACATCAACTGTCTGATACCAGCTCTGTTAATCGTTCCTTCTCCGCACCAACCCAACTCCATCGTTCCATGTCCGTACGTGAAGGCGCGCAAGATCTGCGCAGACTCCAACGATGGCGAACCGCTATCCAGAAAAAGAAGCAAACGCATGATGTGGGCTCAAAACCTGACACAAATGAAGACAACATGGAATTGGTGTCGATTATGGATGATATCTTTGCATTCATTGGCAGTGATCCTGATAAAGAAGTAAGTGAAACACCAAAGTGTAACATGTGACCTCAGAAAACATTAGACCACTTTCATGTGACTTCAAAGCTGCTCAGTTTGGAGGACAAAATAATTTCAATCTCATGAGAATTGGAAATTTTATTGAGTTCCATTCCGACGTACTGCAAGGGATCTATTTTAGGACGTGTGCTAACAGGTCACTTGACCCTACCCCCAGTAAAACAATGATAGTGTCAAAATTAACCCTAGAAATTTAAAGAAAAGGGTAAGGTCGTGTGACCTCTTTTTGCAAGTTCCCAATTAGTTTACCATAATTTTGGGAATACGTAAAATACGAAGTTACTTTTCGTTGAACGTTTCGAAAACTGTGATTACATCTGACTCCTTCAGCAAGCATTCTTTCGTTTTTAAGAAACGTACTCAGCAAGCACAGGTCGCTGGTTCTTTTTGTGGGGCAGAAAAGAACGTCTTCTTGCATGGTGTTGAGGGAAGGAATGGGTCAACACGGTGAGAAAATGAGCCATATATGAAAAAAACGGGGTTTTGTGTAATCACATGACGGCACCTATGTTGGATGGCAGAAACAACTCAATCGTCTTACATAAGAAAAAATTCAATTCCCAAGAGTAAAGGGATTCTATTGTTTTGCCATCCAACATGGCCGCCGGCACGTGATGGTGCAACATGAAAATGTTAATGCAAACTGGATTTGTTTTCCAAATTTAAATAACAAGATATTCATAGACATATCCTCATCATATCCAAATTTTCTTGAATTTCTCCAAATTTAAGTAACAAGATGTAACGTGCGCGTATAAATATCTTTTCCAAAGGTGTCATACTCAAGCTTTCTATCAGCCGCACGTCTGCGCAACGAGCGAGGTTTGTCTCGTGTACAAGCCCTTCTACACATGCATGAACTCATTGGTGTATGTGCTAACATACCGGGACACGTACCTCAGCTCATCATTACTATTGCTTCCATACTCTCACAAGGACCAAGGTAGGAATATTACTTTATTTTCTGTCTGTTCTATCCTCAAAGACAAGGCATGAGCGAAAACAAAGATTGCACACGCTCTTACCTAGTAGCCGGCCGAATTTACCGAAGACTTTTCCTTTCCTAAAAAAATGTTACTCGTAGTTTGAATCCAAAGTTGGATTTGAATCCAAAGCTGGAAATGAATTTCACAAAATGTCCAAAATTTGTAATTCTCAACAATTTAGGCAATTTTTTAAATTAATACAAAGACTTAAAGCAGCCGAAGTATTAAATGAAACGTTGTGTAACGGTCGTTTAAATATGCATTAATCCTTTGAAATATGCATTATGCACGCATGCGCAAACTTGTTTCTTTTATTTTTATTGTAAGTATACGACAAAATGCTTTGATTGAATTAGCGATGGTTATTGACCAATTTAACTGAAGTTATTGTTAACTATTTTTAGGATCGAAGAGCTTAAATGTGGTGGTATGGCTACTGCTGTACGAGAAGAGTTCACCAATGTTGTCCAGGCGCTTCTCCAGCAAGCATCAACCGATCCTATAGTATACAGTAATAGCATCTTAGTTCTGTCTGTCTGTCCATTCTCATGGCAAGAGGAGCGTTGCGTGATTCGTAGTGGCCTTATTTCTTTACTGGACCGACTCTGTATACTAGGACGTGACCAGTCACAGTCGTCACGCAATACGGCTTCGATGGCTTGGGCTAGTTTTCAAGTCCTTTTGGATCGATTTGTCCAATGGGAGAATGATGACGGTATGTAGGTCATAATCTATACATGGAATTATGGGGATGCATTTGGCGAAATCACCATGTGCCCAGAAAATCCGTGATAAACGCGTTAGAGACCTGGGGTGCTTAACATTTACCGGAAAAACCGGAAATTCCGGTTGGAAAACAAATGGTGTGTGTCATTCATATCGGAAAGTTCCGGAAAACCTCGGTCTTCCGATTGAGGTAATCCACTTTTCCCGCTCTTTCCGGTTCTTTCGGTGTATGTAAACGCGTGTACCATTTTTCGAATGTCAAAATTTCCCGCTCTTTTCTTACCTTTAGCGAATAAATTTCAAATCGGACGCAAATCGGATGGTAAGCACCCCTACCTTGTTTTAGCCTTGGAAAGGATAATATCTAAGCTTTAATGTTTCTTTAATGTTTTTTGAATGTCACTTGTTCGTCTTTACAGGTTATCAAGCCGATGAGATTGAATGGTCAGGTTTAGCATACCAAGTGTCTTCACTGATAACAAACTATCTTAACTTTGTACTGGAGGAAAGTCGTAAGGAGATCACAAGAGCAAGGGATTCGCTGCAATATATCTTGAAGTTACTGCAGAGCATTGCAGGGTAAGAAATGACTCGTATATCTTGGTCCCATGTAAATCTAATGGGTAAACAGCAGATATTTATTTTGTCGTATGATTTTTTTCTTGTAATTATTCGATTGCAAGTTGGCCTCTTTGCAGGGAGCTTTGGTGCCATTTAGCAAAATATCTCTCATTAGCATTCATTATTAACGGCACCAAGATGGTCGCCATATTTTGTCTTTTGACTCTCTTGGGAATGCTTGTAACCTATCAACAAGGTAGTTTATGGTTGCAAGACTACTTCATTTAGCTGATCGTAGAATAAGAAATTATGGAAAACCAGAGGGTCTTCACTTCCATCGATACCCTTTCCTTTTTCCTACCACCCAACCTTCATCTCTTGACCAACATCGTTCTTGTTCACATCGACCTTACCATTAAAGTTGAGTATAATATATTACTTCTTGACATTCTTGGTCTAATTTCTTGTAGAAGTAAAATGGGAGAAGCTATTTTACAGCAGTCCTGCACCGTCTCCACCCTACTAGCTGTACTTCTAGATCCTCGAGCTCCTCCTAAACTCGTACTAACGGTACTAAAGCTCTGTCGGGCAGCTCTTCCTCTCATGACGACGAATAGCTGCGAACAGCTAACGTTACCTGTCACGGCAGAACGATATCTGAACCGTGATGATAACGCAGCAGATCTGAAACCTGTGCTCAAGGTTGCCAAACTTCTGTTAGCCAAACTAGGTGATTTTATATTACCCTGTGTCCAAAATGGAAAGAGATTGCAGTATGGTAAGAATGGTAATTGTAATGGAGGTGTTGAAGGAACGGCAAATGATACCGAGAAGACGGAGCAGTACATAGTGTATGTGCACAAACGAAGCGATCAACCTTCACATGAAGTCGTACAGACGATCGTCAGGTGAGTGGCAAAACAATTTAGTGTGTATTCGTAATTATTGCCTAGAGAATTACAGCACGATTGGGATTTCCGCGGTAATAAACGAAGAATAGCGATGTTACAGATTACGGATCTGACTTTCTTCATCATATATGCGCGCAAACACTAAGCGCTACTTCGTCTTCTGCGTTACCGTGTACAGTACGTACACGGTAACACTGAAATGGCTTCCTGGTGTCTTATAGCAGTTTATGCAATCACAACGCGTAGTTACGGTAAAAACTCTGACCCCCCACAAGTTCAAATTTTAACTGATAACCCTCCCCTGTAAAGCCCTAGCCCTCCACCCCCCTCCCCTCCTAAAAACGTACTATCCCTCATTTTTTTCCTCATTCCATTATTCATATTAGTCATATTGGTCATCGGTTTGTTTTTCGCGTGGGGCTTGGTACCGAGGTAGACCGTGCCGTGCGTCTCGACCACGAACTGACTGAAAACAACAAAGCAGTGATCATGACAGATGTTTTTAGTGCCTGTGTGACCAAAGCCTCCAGTCTTGCAGCGATGGGCCTTGTGACTAGTGTATTACCTGCGTATCATCGACAGCAAGAGTCTTTTGATAAGGGACTGGTATCGAGTGAAAATGTCTGTAGTGTGCGCAACCAAATACTGGCAAGGTGAATCATAGTTAAACTAGTATACTTTAATAATTATCTACTGTTTGTTCTACTAGTATGGATAGTGAACATTTTTCTTGGGTTTTTGCTCATAATCCTGATAGATCCCATTCTTAAAATCAAATGAAAAGTTCGTTCGTTCGTTCGTTCGTTCGTTCGTTCGTTCGTTCGTTCGTTCTTTCGTTCTTTCGTTCTTTGTGCATACTATANTTTCTTTCTTTCTTTCTTTCTTTCTTTCTTTCTTTCTTTAGTTAGTTCGTTCATTTTTTATTTATTTTCATTTAACTTTTTTTGTCCCGTAATCCCTTAAACTCATTTGCTTCTTTCACCATCATTTTTTCCTTTCCTTCCTTTTTCCATCTTCGACTTAAGATGTTTTGTGCTTGACCACTCAACCAGAATATCGAAAATTGGCTATTATTTACTGACCGTTTCTTGATCTTAGTGAATCCTGCCGTCCGTTCGTGAGCGGTCAAGTAGCGCACACCATGGCGTCTGAAGTAATCTCTCTTTTACAATCGCTTCTCACATCGCCTTCCTCGGATGCCGCAAAGCTTTGGTCCTCTGCAGTGAAACAGGTTCTTTCCGACGCCCTAAATTCAGTGTCATCATTGATGGAGCGTCTTGGAAAAGAAATTGACCGTTCGATCATGCACCAAGGTCAGGAGACTGAGGAAGATGAAGAGACGTTAACTGTAGCAGGTGAAGAGCTGATGATGGTGTCGGGACAGGTTATGGCTGCACTGTGCTCTATGGGAGGTTTCAATCATACTGTCTATGCAGGTTGTAATGCTAAGGTAAGTACAGTAGACAAATGGAGCAGTTTTCTTACGACTGTGAAAAGCTCGCGGCACGAACGCGGTCCTGACACGGCAAGGCCTACAAGGACACAGAACGATTGAGTGATGAATCATTTACTGCGTGAACGCATTATGCGGCGCAGTTACGTTACAAAATTTAACCGTTCGGTCGCGGCCATCAGCGAACAATCGTGCGAGGATGTTTACAAAGTCGTGCCAAATCTGCCCTAAAGCATATGGCACAAACAGACCAACCTTTTACGTGCGCATGTTATTGTATGTCGGGTTGATGTTCTTAGTTGGCTTCAAAGACGATAATTAAAACCAGCGTCTGTTTATGCGGTGAAAGGACTTTCTTCTTTTTATCACAGTTCTTCTCCTCATGCTTTGAATTTAATTCATAGATCATCGGGGAAGACATGGTTGCTATGACATGTGAAGTGATGAGCACGTCTGATGGAATGGCTACTATACTATTGGATGATAGTACACAGGCTGAACGGTTACTTGATATTCCTCTTGTACGGCTGGAACTGCCTCACAAAGAGGTAAGAAACTATTCATTCGAATCTTTGTCTTTTCCTTGCGATTTTTAAAAATACATTTTCTCAGAAAGAAAGCCCTTTACACAGAGGCGATATTTAATACGAGACAATTTCTCTCATATCTTGTCTAGCGAACAAAATTGTTGCACATTGTATGTTCCACGCGGAAATTCTCTCGAACTTGTCTCGCGCAGAAAATTCTTGCATGTTGCAGAAAGTAGGATGGATTTCAACTTTTCCTGAAACAAAAAATGCGCAAGAAGTCGTACGCGTACAAAAAGCTCGTGTCGTAATCTGTAAATTATCGTTATTGAAATTATAATTTGCGAGGCAAGTTGGCAAAGAAATCGTTGTCGTAATTTTGAAGCAATTTTGAATGTCAGTTGAACGACAATTTTGTCTAGGGTAGATAACGTTTTGACGTGACGTACCAAAACAATACATTTTCTATCCTCCGGGAATTTAACTCTATTTTTATGCAAAAATTGTGCTGAAAGTTTTTATTGTTTTGTACACAAATGTGACTGCCTTCTCACGTGAGTGAAAAGTATACGCTCTATTACCGCACCTTAGCTCTGCAGTATTGACCAATGTGTTTGCCTAGTGTGAGTTTCTTATTGTTTTTCTTATTGCCAATGTACAGCCTGTTTCCCTTAACAAAGTTGAGCTAGTCGAACAAGCGATAGAGTCTCTTTATTTGATCCTAAAGACACGAGATGTTACTCTACCCAAAATCCCTGAATCAGAGGACAGTAATGCTTTATTACTTGAAACCTCAGCTGCTCGGGTACTGTGTGAGCTGAAAACCAGGTACGTAAAGAGATGTAGTCATTTGTGTTGAGGCTTATTATTATGAATACAAAAATATTGTGCATTGAGAGAAGAGTTCCAATTGTAAAGTCAGGGGAAATCTAGAATTTTATTCAAGGTAAGGGAATTGTGTATTTGGTCATGCAGGAAAATTGTTAAAAGATGTGCTAAAAGTTGGGGTTTCTGAGCCACTATGCAAGCAAAGCCTTTTTAGGAATGTTAGTTTCCTGTGGAATTCTACTACCCAGGCCCTGGAACGGAATATAACCCTTTTTGTGGCTTAGGTAACCTGTGAAGTTCGTGCAAAAAATGTATTTTAATTAGGGGACTTTATTTTACTAGGAGATTTGTCATTCACCCAGGTTGCGGATGAATGGAATTTCTGTCCTCAGTTCCCTGTTTTTAGACTGAATATCTGTCATACTTGTTTTCCTATAGAGCGAGTATGGTATTGACCTGCCAGATGAAAGACCCCGTGTTCTGTGACGCCTTCACCAGCCACCATTCTCAACCCTTACAAACAATGAAAGCCCTTGCAGACCTGACAGACCCAGGCAAACGTCTAGCAGTCCTCGATTCACAATGCCAAGAACTGCGAAAACTCTTCAAGGACTTGGTCAAACCTGTAGATCGCAGACACAATGGAAAAACCAAGCCAGTTGCTCTGGATATAAGGAAAGAGTACCCTCCCATAAAGGGCGTGGTCTTCACCGAGGGATACAGGGTGGCTCATATGATGGTAGAAGGAGAAAATATCCAGAATTTGCCTCGCGGGGCATATTTATATGCAACACAATCCATACCACTCAAGGTGAATATACACTCCTTAATTGTCATGTGATTATTATTTAATCGAAGTTAACGTTGAGAGCCCTTTAGCACGAAGTTCTTGCTAGGTACCGCAAACCTCAAACTGCAGTTTGACGTCAGGCGTTTTCCTTCAAACTTTCGACATTTAGCAAGACATCATGACAAAGTTGCGGCTAGAAGAGCCGCCCTATTAAATTCTATTGGTGTCGAGTGTTTCTCCGTGTTTGCGGGCGTGTTTCTAGGCCTGATGCCTAGCGGTTAGCGGTAAACTTGCTTCTAAAGGTCTCTAATGAGTTAATGGTTGTTGCTTAAACGTATCTGAATTAGCGTGTTTGCTTTGCCCCGCGTGATTAACTTTGCTTGCTTGCCTTCATAATTGTCAAGTCCGTTTGAAAGTTTTATGAATTCCAAAATTTCCACTCTTAACATTTACAAAAAAAATACCCAAAATCTCCATGCTCGGCCCAAGATTTTTTCACTTTTTTGAAAACCAAGTTCCATTCATTCACTGGTGCTCAGCCTCCCGCACGTTTCAGTTAAGGTAAATTCAAAAGTTGAATCCCAAAATACATTCTGGACAATATAAAAAGTCCCTGAAATCTTCCCCGAAATCCTCATTGATAACCAAGTAGTTCAATCTTATCATAGGCACCCTCATATTACTGGGAAGTGGAGATACTGTCCCTGGCCAGAACAGATACCAGTAACTACGTCGGTAGTGGATCATCATTGTCAATTGGCATTGCGCCCACAATAAGTCATCCTGCTGACAAGTGGGCAACCCCAGTTGGAGCATGCGTACTCCATGAGTAAGTTTATGCTTAAATTACGTATAAATTAGTTGTAGTTGTTATTTTGTGCGATGCTGTGCCTAATTTTATCCAAAGTGGGCTTCCTGTGTTTTGTTTGAGAAACGAACTGGCCTATAGCATGTGCACGGCACGGTACTCCGTGACATTGTTTTCGCACAATTAATCCAATCAGAATGCTTAGATATCTACACGGCCAGAAAAATATGGTGCTTCTACAGTAAGGCTACGAATTTCATTTCTTTTTATCACTATTTTTTGAAATTATTTTATAGTAATGGGATAGCAGTGCATTACAAACGAGGAGGATTCACCAATTGGGAAACCACCAATACTGGCCTCACAATACAAAACACTCACGTGATAGGATGCAGCTACACCAGATCCGAAGATGATGTCGACCATGGCAGCGTCTACTTCACTCACGATGGTCAGCGGTTACCAGGTGTATTGCATGGGGTCAGAGCTGGTTTGTGGCCTGTTGTTCATCTACAAAGAAAGGTTCGTTGAAAAAATATCAAAATATAATTTAATCACTCCGTAGCATGACTTGACCTCGTACATGTCTCGAGATTTAAATCCTTCATTTCCTTCCGCTTTCCCAATCGTTCTGTTGCGAGTAGACTGACTGCGTACCGCGTCCTATTTGTGGGTGACCTGAGTATCAGGCCCCAGGGGAGGGTAGGAGGGAAGGGTATGTTTCTATATACCCCTTGCAGCACGTCGGAATGATGCTCAATTTGGAAGATATAACAATAGGCTTTCCAATTCTCAGGAGATTGAAATTCTTTTGTTTTGTCCCCCAAATTGAGCTGCTTTGACGTCACATGCAAGGGGTCTATTTTAATCACATTGGTTATCGCTCTCTTAAACGTTATAGTCACGTCATCCTTTCCGGCATATTGGACGACAAATGTGAGCTTTTTCTTCCCTTAGATGTCACTGACACATGTATGAGGAAGAAGTATATGTACATGCATCCTGTAGACAGTTTATAATTCGCCGTCCAACATGGCCGTCTGTTGTCACGTGATCCAATGGCACATATACTTCAGCCTATTGGAGAGTATAAGGGGATTTTGATATATATATCTAAAGGCGTTATAGGTACAAGAGGCACTGCGCGCCTTTTAATAGAAGCAGACGTTGATTGTTGAGAAAGACTTTCTGCTGAATAACCAAGATAATTTTTACAAGATTCCTTCGAATACCGTTTTCTAGGATGTTAAAGTGCGCGTTAATTTTGGAAGCCATCCATTCGTGTACGCCAAAGGAAGCAAGATTCGCCAAGCAGCTGATCTGGCATCTGATTCCATGGAAGAAGTAAGACAGTTGTTACTTGAGCTGCCGTTTGCTGGGGTTGAGAACGATTCGGATGAAGAAGCCAGAGTGATGGCCCCAATTAAAGAGGTTGGGGAAACCAAGCTAAAGAAGATTCCAGAACCCTTGAGTCTGTCTTCAGACACTGATATCAGGGGTGAGTATATATATCTATCTGTGAGTTAGTCGTGCTCTGATTTAGATCAGCCCAGAGGTTGTTTCAAGGTTCGATAAAGTTAAGGCTTGAGAGATTCCCGATATTAACTTGTCATGAAACTCTTTTCCAGAGTATGATCCCAGTGCGTCATTGACTTACATGCTGTCCAGCAGCTGTGACGTCATGACAGACACCGGTCCGCTGTCCCACATGGAAGAAGACGATTCCCAGAAACAAATATTAGACTCCAAGAATGCGAGCCCAACGGAGCTTCTAGTTAAGGCCTGGGAGGAAAACGTTTTCCCAGTCATAAGTCGAAGATTCCGTAACGAAGCAGACAGACGATCGGGATTGGAGCAAATCCGTGGTGCTTTACAAGCCGGTATGCCAACATGTAGTTAAATTCTATTTAATATTTGCTGGGAAATGATCCCATCGTAAACAAAATGTCACCTCACCTAAAGATCACATGACATATTGGTGTCACGTAATCAATACTTGACCCCCAAAATCACGGGGCATTTGTTGTCACGTGATCACAACTTGGCCAAAAACGCAGTGACAGGCTAGTGTCACGTGACATTTTAGTGCTCTTATATTTACAGCATATTCACTCCATCGTAACATAGTTTTCAACTGAATTCAAAACTTTTCCTACTTAACAGGAATGATGGATATAGCGGTAGCAACTCTAGAAGACTTGTACGAAGACACTGGAGGCATTCCTAATACCCTAACTCTGCCTCGCCTAGAAGACGTGAAAGAGGACGCCAACAAGTTATCGGTCAGTAACATCAGGCAAGGTATGGCTGTTGTTGTGAGCTCCAAACTTAATGATACCTCGATGGCTGGGTTTGCTGTACCTGAGATGAAGAGGACGTATGGCCTTACTGGTATTGTACTCACCATCGATAAGGTAAATCATTCTTTTTTATCGTACTAGAGTGAAGGCATTTAACTCGTGAAATAAAAAATGTCGGTCAACGTATAATAGTCAAATAGACACAAACAATGGAATGGAATTAGGGCGTTCCACTGTGTATTAGTCTAATATCTATTTCACGGGTTTAGTGACTTTTACTTTATGGATATCAAGTGTATTTTTCCTTACTATTGCGGCAGCTACGCACGCCCAAACTTTCCTGGTCCTTCGCACTTCGTTTTCTGATTACTAACACTGCGTCAGAAACTGTTTACGACTCTGATTATAATTGGGAATATATATATATAAGCATATTATGCAAACAAAAAGGTATATATAACGGAATAATTTATGCAAGTATTTGCTTCTATATGTTTATTATAAAATATACATATATACATATATAACGGAATTTATGCAACTAACTACTCGCTTAAATTCTGTTATATACTACATACTATATAACGGAATTTATGCAACTAACTACTCGCTTAA